GTGTGTTTCATGTAGGATCCCATTTTTTAACATGTGTTTTGTATTCTGCTTTTATTGATTTATGGATCAATCAACTTCATGTTACTGTAATAAAATACTCAAAACAATTAACTTATAAAGTGAAGCAGGTTTCTTAGCTCATGGTTTTGGAGTTTCCATTTCTTTTTTTTTTCTTTTTGGTCTTTTTCCTTTTTATCGGTACCAGGGATCAAACTCACAACTGCCTGCTTGCAAGACAGGCGCTTATGCCACTGAGCTAAATCCCCAGGCCCCGGAGTTTCCATTTCAAGATCTGGAGACCCTGTGATCAGCAAATGTCGGTATCCGGTGGTCTCACACTGTTACACAGCTTCAGAGGTGGGGTGAGGTGAGGTGTAGCCAGGCCAGGGTGGACAGAGGGTGCAGGAACTAGGTGGCCACCTTTGCTGACTTCCTTGCTGATACACTCAGCCAGTTCTGCAGCCTTCCCTGTGCCACACATGGCACAGCTGGGCATAGAGCTGGAGCCAGCTAGGCTTCAAGGTGGGGACAGAGACAAAAAGCTCCAGCTCAGATCTTCTCATGGGATGGCTTCTGGGGCAGTGGGATGAAAGGTGGCAGGCCAGGCTGGGTGTGACTCTTGCACTCAGAAGGAAACAACATAGAATGAATATCCAGGCCTCATGTGTTATGCTAACATGTGGGCAGGATTGTAAGATTTCTCTTTTTTTTTTTTTATCAGTACCAGGGATCGAACTCATGACCGCCTGCTTGCAAGGCAGGTGCTTATGCCACTGAGCTAAATCCCCAGAGGGTTGTAAGATTTCTGTGGTCCTGTCCACATACTGGAATATATTCCATCGGAGTGGGATTGGTCCTTGGGAACTTCTAGGGAGATATATGTATTTTTTTAAGTGCCAGTCAGGGCTGAGTTGAAGACTATGGTATGCTTCCCAGACTCAAAATCTAGTGTTTTATTGGCACTTTACAAGGACTTTTAGCCTTGTAAATTTGGGGGTAGCTTTTGGTGGTTGTGGGGAATATCAAGGATCTTCCTCTCATTGCTGTCAACAAGGTGGGAAATACCACTCTGCCTTCTGAAGCCGTGTTTGAATGACTAATTATATATTTGATCTTCTGCCTTTCCCCTTTTCAGAGGCCAAATTTAGAGCAGAGCCAGTCCCGTATTCCACTCTATGGTAACAAAAGAGATAAGAGGGTGTTACAGTTTATGTCTGGGTGTCCCCTCAAAGCCTCATGCAGTCATGGAGGTGGGCTACTAGGGTTTGTGTTGATCAGTTGTCCAATGCTAGAATTACGGTGCGAGTGCTGCGCCCACCTTAGGTGGGTGTGGCCTACATACCGTATAAGGGACAGACGGCCTTCTGCATTTCAGCTCTTGTTGCTTTTGCCGCCTTCTGCCACCATGAACTGCTGCCCTCTGCAGTGAGCCACCCTGCCTTGGACCCAGCTGATTATGAACTGAAATCTCCACAAACTCTGAGCTAAATAAACCTTTGCCTACTTCATTTTGGGCGCTGGGCATTTTGTCTCAGCAGTGAGAAAAGTAACCAAGACAGATGGCCCTCCAGCCAGCAGGCTAGTGGTCCCTTTCAGAGCACGGCAGCCTTGGTTGATTTCTCCCGAGGAATCCTGGCTTCAATGCTCTGTGCTCCATGGCTTGGTAAACACGTCTCCTTTCTTTTCATTATGGGTTAGAGAAAATGTATCACAGTCCATCGTGACTTGTGCCACTGTGCTGCCTCTGGCAGCCTCAGTAGTGTACACATCTGCTGCTGCAAGAGCTGGGAGAGGAGGACAGACACACCAGTGACCCTTGTGTGCGGAGCACAGTGGAGAGAATTCCCAAGCAGACTGCACAAAAGCCTGCATATAACTGTCTTCTCACGTTTGGGGCCACTGATTGCAGGGCCCAGTTTTTATTGTGATTCGTCTCCTTGTCCAGTGCTCTTTCCTATGTGTGTGACTTAAGCAGTAAACACGATTTCTTTTCTTTTGGTACTGGGTGAACCCAGGGCCTTTGCACTGAGGTACATCTCTAGCCTTTTCATTGTTTTCCTTAAATTTTTTTTTACTTGTAAATGTTTGCCATATATAATGATCACATTTATCACAGAGCATTTGTAGCTGTACAGAGTATATTTTAATTCTTTTTCTATTCCCATTCCTCTTCCCTCTAACTCCTCTTCCCCTCCTCATTTATAAAATCTTTGTTTCCATTTCTCCCCTTCCCTTCTTTTTAAAATTCCTTTCCCCTCCTTCCTGCCTATCCTGCCTTTGCCCCCTCTTGTTTCTCTATTTGAACAAGCTCAGTGCAGTACTATTCTGCCATAAAGGACAACTCGAAACGTTTTAGATAAATGGATATATCTCAAGACCATCACTTTAAGTGAAATAAATCAGACACCCAAGTTTAAATATAACCATTATTTCTTTTGTGTGAGGAAACCCAACAGGTAAGTAAGGAGCCAAAAGTAAGAGAGATACTGGGAGGTAGGAAGTCTTTGCATTTTGACAGTTTTGCTGAATCATTAAATTGCCCAGGCTGGTCCCCACTTCCTGCCTCTGCCTTCCAGAGTGCTGAGATCACAGGCGTGCACCCCCATGCTGGGTCGTAAAAGTGAATTTTTTTGGTCTTTTTCATTTTTATCGGTACCTGCTTGTAAGGCAGGCGCTTAGGTCGTTGAGCTAAATCCCCAGCCCCCCATGAAAGTGATTTTTAAACAAAGGTACCATAACATTTACCTCTGAATAAAGTGTCAGAGTAGCCTTAGGAGGAGATGCTATCCTTAAATGATTCTGTTATTTACTCAAAACATTCTTGGAACAGACTTTTGGTAACCACAGAACCTTATGTGGAACATCTATGGTGATAGATTATGTGCAGCCTTTTCTGGATTTTATTCTTGAGACACCCAGAAATAAACTAGCTAAGTGAAATGGGTGATTAAACTGATGTCATCTAGGTATCAGAAGCAAAATATGACCTCATAAAGCAAATTGTGTATTGAGTCTGCAGTTCACAAACTTGTTCTTGAAGGCAGTTTCAAGAGGAGACTTGAATATATTTTGATCAGTAGATGAATGTGAGGAAAATACATCTCCATGATAGAATGATTAGTTTGAAGGTTGACTTCATCTGGATTTTTAAATTTAAATTTAATTTAATTTAAATTAAATTGAGAAAGTGAGTTTCTTTATGGACTTAATAAAGAACACAAAAAAATTTGCCTCTTAGTGGGTATACAGGGTACAGCAATAGCGTGGGCCACAAAACCCTCTCAACAAAAACAATTTTTAATTCCATTTTTTTTTTGTCTTTTTCTTTTTCTCGTGCCGGGGATCGAACTCATGACCACACACTTGCAAAGCAGGCGCTTATGCCGCTGAACCAAATCCCCAGCCCCTTTGATTTCATTTATAAATCATTTTACAATCATTGAACAAGAAACTGAGTCATGTGTGTGCCCATACACATTATTTTACTTAATCCTAACACCTAAAATAATAGACACTATTATTCCCATGTTACCGATGACCAAACAGATCTAGAGATATAAACATTGCAGATTTCCTACAATCACAGAGCTGGGAAAGAGAGGAAGTCGAATTTGAATTCAGAACTATTCACCTCCAAAGTCTGGACTTTTATCACGTTGTTATCCCCAAATAATGGAAAAACCTTTGTTGTTGTTGAGACAGGGTCCAATGTGTACTTCTCATACAGCCTTGAACTGACTGTATAGCCCAGGCGGGGCTTAAACTTGCAATCTTCCTGCCTCAGCCTCAGGAGTGCTGGTATTACAGGGGATTACAGGCGTGCACTACTACGCCCAGCCCAATAAGGGAAAAATGCTGAACTTGATCCCCTGCTAGGACTCTGGAATTCAGGTGTTAGTAGCATTTGGAAGAATGCCACAGCTGAGATTAGTGGACTTTCAACACATTGTAAAGTGTGCTACTAAAAAAAAAAAAAAAAAAAAAAAAAAAAAAAAAAAAAAAACGCTGAAAGAAGAAATGTAATATATACATACAGAATAAAATCCCAAGCCAACTTTTCAGAAAGTACATGCACTGTTATTCTTAGAAAGCTATAAAATAAATCATGGGCACGTGGAAAAATTTACAGCGGGCAGGCAAGGAATGCCAAGCAAAGTCCTTAAGTGTGGGTACACAATAGAACCCCATTTCCCACTTCCCAGGAGCTCAGAGGTCCCCTTCAGGGTTTAGGGGCCATCATTAGTTTCTTAGCTCTGGGTCAGAAGGGAGAGAAGAGCCGAGTGCCGGCCAGGGCTTTGCGGTCCTCACCTTCCTGGCATGGATATGCCAACCGGCTGGGCGCTCAGAATTCCTTTAGCAAGTACAGCAACTTTTATCATATGCTGCTTTTTTTTTCCCTCAAGATAACGTCTCACTATGTAATTCAGGCTGGCATCAAACTGGCAGTGATCCTCCTGCCTCAGCCTCCTGATTGCAGGGATTACAGATGTGTACTACCATGCCCGGCTCAGTCTGGCCATCTTGTCTAAAGTCATCCAGTTGTTCTATCTAAGCTGGGATACATGCAGGTTTTTACAAAGAGCTTTGTGCCTGATATTCGGCCGGAGATAACATGCAGGAACTTGCCAAACACTCCTGGTTGGCAGCCCCAGAAAAGGCATCTGTGACCTGCCAGAGTCCCCAGAGGCTGTGAGTTTCCGGACTTCCCTTGGCCTAGGGTTATAAAGACAGAGGAGGAGAGGGAATACCCTCTGCAGCAGATCCGTGGGTGCTCCAGTCACTGAGGTCCCCCGGTGGACAACAGCTGACCAGCCCTGCAACAACGGCAGGAAACAGCCTTTGCCTCTTCCTGTGCTCCCCACACCTGTGCTTGCATCAGCCCAGCAGCAACCGTGAAGGAGGGAGGGGTTTCAGCACAGCAGGACTCGGGGCTACTTCCGTCTCCTCCTGCTGGTCAATGTCCACACCAAACCAACACAGGCGACTTCTTCCTTCTGCAGATTCCATTGCGATTGCCTTTTGGGTGAGCCTGGCTGCTTTTGTGATGCTCCTCTTCCTCATCCTGCTCTGCATGTCGCGGTCAGGAGCCTCACATGTGAGGTAAGTAGGTAAGCTCAAGACTAATAGCAAACACAAATAGCAGGACACAAACAACGGAATAGTATTCGGCCATGAAAAAGGAACAAAATACTGATTCACACTACAACATTGATGTCTTCCTGCACTTAACATTTGCTGCACCTTCGATGGTGGTCCCACACGAGTCTGTCTCCTAATTATGTGGCAGCCACCTTAGTCTCTGGGAGTATGCACCATGACATTTGTGCAAGGAAAGAATCACCTAGTGATGCACCTCAGGATGTATCCCTGTTGCTAAGCAGTGCGTGACTGAGCTTCAGCTCAAAGCCAGCCCCAGAAGTGCACACAGAGTGCTGCAGTGAATGCCCAGAAGGGTGGATCATACTCTGAGGAAGCAGAACGGTGGTCATGGTGCGGGGAGGACAAAGGAAGGGAAGGATGGCTAGCGGGTTTTTTAGGAATGACTCCGGGAGGCTGAGGCAGGAGGATCTTAAGTTTGAGCTTAATCAATTAGCGACTTAGCACTATCCTGTCTAAAAAAATAAAGAATTTTAAAAGTTCTGGGGATGTAGCACAGAGTGGAGTGGTGGCCAGGCTGGCACCAGGCAGCTCCAGGCAGAGTCAGGGAGGATGGATTTCTTAGTTTGGATACCAGCTGGCTTAGGGTGCAGACGGGAAAAGATGCTGACACAGGGCAGGACTGAAGGTCCATCCCGCAGAGGAGAGAGCTCCAGGGAAAGACCAGAGGCTTGGTCCCGAGATGCCCTACTTTCTCCGCAGTGCCTTCCGAGATGGCCTTGACCGTTCCCACAGGTCTCCGGGCCCTGGCCTTCCTCTTGGGAGTGTGCGCATGCTCCAGTGTGTCAGTGTTTGCGTGCATGTAGGGGGCGGTGACGGGAAGCACCGCAGGGAGGAGCGCCCTGTGACGCTGCCTTCTCTCCAGGCCCAGCCCCCAGCGCCCAGGGAGCCCGCGGAGCCCCGGCCTCGGCCTCCCCCTCTGCTTCCGCAGGGCCTCCAAGCGGACCGTGGAGGAGCCGGCGAGCGGCCCTGGCGGGGACCCGCGGCCCTAGCAGGTGCCCCCCAACCTCGCAGCCCCGCCGTTCTCTGGGGACAGCCCGAGCGGTCCTCAGCTGCCGTCAGGAACCAGCTCTCCGGAGCCAGAAGCCGCCCCCACCCTCGGAGAACCGGTGACAGCGGCCGGCAGTGGCTGTCCAGGGAGGTGCGGAGGCCCCGCTGCCCGGCTCGCTCCGCCCGCTCCGCCCGCCCTGCCTGTCCGCCGTGGGACGGCGGGAAGTAAAGCGCCTTCCTATGCGAATGAGAGGGAGCGCTGTGCAAACGCCGGCGGCGCCGCCCCCACGGGGAAGCCCCAGCACCCGCGCCCGGCAGGTCACACACCTGCGCCTCAGCACAGCCGGAACCGGATCCCGAGCGATGCAGTCACCCGGCGGCCAGGCAGTGAGCGGGCCTGCAGCGCCGTTGTGGTCGGGAAAAGCTCCGGAGGCCGCCTGGCCACATCTCATGTGAGCTGGATGCCACTCTGACTGCAGAGCTGAGCCCTGAAGGCGCTCATCCTCCGGAAAGTGAGGTCCAGCCTGTTGGCGGAGGGACAGCAACACGCCAGCGCAGCTCCCTTCTGTGCAGTGGCAGAGAGTGGGAGACAACTCCAGTGACCCCCTCCCCCACTTGAATGCAAAACTCTGCACCTCTGATTATTTGGACACTTCTTTGCTTATAGGGATATATAGAGCTGGCTATGGTATTTCCTTCTCTTCAAATTGGCTCTAAGCATTGCAAATTAGGCGAGGTACTGGTGTGTAATCTTTAAAGCCCACAGACCGTATCCTGTTCCCCCACATAGTGTTCTCCAAAAAGGATGTGAGCACCAGCGGGAAGTTAAGATAATAGCTCCCGGAATGTCAACTGGGTGTGAGCCACAAGGTAAAGAGGCGATGACTCCCCAGGGCACAAAAATTTACATACCAAACAGAGGCAACAGTCTCCCAACAACTGTTGCTACCTTACCAACTGTGCAAATCGACCCTTCTGCAGATCTTTCTCTGCATTTTGCAGAGATGCTTTTCTCCCCACCTGGCTAGCCAGCTCAAATTACGCCATCCTCACTGTCACTCATCCCTGAACCACCCCTCTTGTTCACAAGATAATAAATTCTGGGAGAGGCCTAGGGTCAGGGCCTTTGTCCAGGCATCCCCACAGGGAGTGGATTTAGGACCCTTTGGCTGCCCTTAACTTGGAAGGTGTCTTGGTGTCTTTTACTTTGGAGGCGGTAGATTGGAATTAACTTGCTGAGATTCCAATAACCTCTCAATGGGATTACAAATAAAACTTTCAATTGTGAGGAAAACTGGAAAAGGGATTACAATACTTGGATAACTGTACTCAGTATTTAGGATTACAATGGCAGAGGACTAGCATGTAGCCAACACACCTTCCACAGACTCTCTGGTCTCCAGGTTCCCCATGATAAACGTCAGGTGAGTCACTGTCACACTGTGTTGTTTAGGGAATAAAAGAAAAAAAGTCCGTGTTCAGCTGAGTATTTCTTTCTGAATCTTCAGTCCAGCTGCAGATCCTGGGTCACAGGGTGGCGCCTGTGTTTAACATTCAGTGCTCAGCTGAGTGTGGTGTGGTGCATGCCAGTGATTCCAGCCTTCCAGAGGCTGAGGCAGGAAGATCATCATGAATTCAAGGCCAGCCTGAACTGCATAGTAAGATCCTGCTTAAAAAAAAAAAAAGTGTTTTGTACTTTCCATCCAGGTGAACGATAGGATTTTTGGCGGTGTGGTGAGAGAGAGCATATAAAGTAAATGTGGCCTTTATTCTAAGGATGCGGAGAGAAACTCCATGACCGGTGGGGTCTGGCTTTCTCTAATGGACACATGGTGTGGGGAGCATTCATATAGCTTTGGTCTGGGGTGGTGCCTAAAGAGGCATTACTGATGCGCAAGCAGCCGACTAGAATTCATTTCAAGCCACAGGTAAACCGCCTTGGAGCAGGGAACATGACTTCAAGGTAAACGTCCCTTGGTCCCACCTCTCACTGCTGTAGTGTCCTATCTAGGCAAAATCCTTTCAGTGAAGACTATAAAATCTGTTCTACACAGGGTGAGGAGGATGATTTCACCCGGTAGGTGTGGGCTGGGCTCCCACACTTGGGGCCTTGGACTTGAGAAGGCAGACAGGGACTATGAGACTGGGGCCTGAGACGCAGAAAAGGTGCGGCTGCTAACCCTGTGTCCTCGACTCACTGAGCTGAAACCCAGCTCTGAAGTCCCTGTCACAGCCTAGTGCGCCTCTTTCCACTTGTTTGCTTCTCAGGTTTGCCATGGAACCTGCTCTGGGGCAGCTCTCTTCAGAGGAAGGAAAGGAGCAGCTGGCTCAGGGCCACCGGACAGCAGGAAAAGGACAGGGGTGACCTGTGGCCCCAGAGGCTGCCTGGCAACTTCTCCTTCACGAAAGCCTGTGACAGGAGGACAGGTGTCCCCAGGAGTACTGAACATGTGGCTGTGCTAGCTAAGCATGGACATCAGATGCCATCCAGTCACTGGGAGACAGTGTGGCTTAGGGCCCGTGAAGGGCATAGCAATTTTCCCTGCATAAAACAAAACAAAATAAATAACGTAACATAAAACAAACAAAAAAGAAAAGAACTGCAAAGAGAAAGAAAAAGTGGCCTCTGCTGTGACAGTCCAGGGATGAGCCCAACAGGAATGTAAACAGGATTTCAACTGAGAATATCAAAATACTGTGGGTTTTTGTGAGGGAAGGGAGGGAGAGGAATAGTCCTGTTTGCAGTAAAGGGCTACACAGCCAAGCGTTATTCTGGGCTCCATTAATATCTTACGTCATTCAAAACAGGATTCTGAGGAAAACTGGCAGTGTATAAAAGGGTAAATGTTTAACACCAAACGAAGCCATTCCAGTACTATGTATGCTACACAAGACAAATTAAATAGCCACCCCAAGTTCCAGAGTCACCTCAGGGACATGAGGTATGCAAGAGTCTCAAAGAACCACATCGGTGTTTTACAGAGGAATCCTAGCAATTTCACACTGACTTTCATCAGCTACAATACACACTAAAACATGAACCTTAAAAGTCTATTTCTGACAAAATGCAGGTCCCTCTGGAATAAAAATAGTCCTAACATCAATGAAAGCAAGACACAAAAATCTTACAAAAATACACATTTATTATCAAGAGATTATAAAACTCAAAATCCCTTCTTTGAAACTGAAGAAATAAGTCTGTAAACTTTATGCTTTCAGTCACACAAAATTTTGTTACAATTCCTTACAGAGGAAAAAATTTTAAATTCCTGTCTCTGTGAGACAGGGTCTTATCACATAGTCTAGGCTGGCCTTGAACTTGAAGTTGATCCTCCTGCCTTAGCCTCCAAGTACTGGGATTAGGCAGGTGCCACCACGCCCAGCTAAAATACCTCTCTTGGTTCTCACCAAAAACATGACAAGTTTTTTGACACTGTAGCTTGAACATTCACGGTGTGCATCTGCAGTTGCAAAGCAGCATGGGACTCCTGGAGGGGTGTGGCAGGGCACCCTGTCCCTGCAGCCTCAGCACTTGGACACACCTTATTCACTGCTTAATAAAGGCCTTTTGATTCTTCCAATCGGGGAGCTGAGCCAACAGCCAGAACTTGTCTGCCTTCCTGGCACCAGACTTCTAGCGCCTGGGAGCGCTCTGCAGGGGTCAGGTGTCTGAGGCCACAGCAGTGAGGTCCCTGCACATCGAGACGATGGCCTCCTCTTCCCTATCCAGGGAGTCCTCCGCAGCCTCGCAGACCATTCGGACGTGTGCTAGGAGGGTATCTGGCCGCTGGGCGCCCAGCCACATGTCCTTGATGTACAGTGACACCAGGAGCGCCGCGGAGGCTGAGGAAGGGTACACAGAGGCCATGAGGGCAGGCCCCGCCTGCTGGAGCCCAAGCCCCCACCCCGCCCCTCCAGCCCCGGCCTGGGCTGAGGGCCTGAGCTCATGTGTCAATGCACCCTCCTCTATCAATCTTGAGGATTTGTGTGTGTGGAGCTTGGAGTGCCCTGCCAGGGCAGCGCTGAACCTGAGCAGCTCTTCTGCGACCCTCTCACATCCTCCTTGCTAGGTGCAGTGTGGAGGTGCCAGAGCTCTATGCCTAAGTCCTACCCCGAGCCCTGGGTGAAGGGACCGCCACCCCAAAAGGAGGCAGCCACCAGAACCTGCACTGGTCTGCCCTGTGCAGGCAGAGCCTGGTGCTCGCGCACCGCCAAGCACGTGAACTGCACAGGTACCTGTGCCCACTGCACCCTGGGTCCTGTTCCAAACCCTCTGCTCTGTGGGGTGGGGGGTGTCCTTGGAGGGACAGGGCTCTGAGAGGACACCTTTCTTACATGTCACTAACTTTTCACCTGGCAGCTAAGGCCCATTCTTTCTACCTTCGCATTCAGCATGGAATGGCAGAATCATGCTGTGGGGTTGCCTGAGTACTTCAGGAACCAGTGCAGGAAGTGGCTGGCAGCAGGGGCTGCCCCCAACCCAGGCCCACTCACACCTCCCCGGCTTCTGCCCAGCCAAGCAGCATTACCTCGTGCGTTGCTGTCTTCTTCTTGCACAGAGGACGTGCACAGGGCCTCCACTGCCAGGTGGAAGGGACTCCTCATGTGGCCCTGGGCCGCCAGCAGCTGCAGCATGACTGTGTTGAACAGAATGGCCACATCCTGCATGGATCCTGCCAGCCCTTTGGCACTGCAGAGGCAGCTGTACAGTTGAAACAGGCTCCTCTTCACTGCCGCATCCCCAAGAAGATCAGCCACCACCCCCGGGTGGGGTAAAATGTGGCTCTTGAGCCAACCCAGGAGTCCTGCAGTCTCTGCTCTGCTGAGCGGGCACTCGGCCACAGAGCACAGAACCCAGCCAGCCACCAGGGAGGCGGCAGCATGCATGGGGCTTTCGACTTGGCTCTCATGAGTGGCCTGGTCCTGGGAGGGCTCGGGGCCGGAGTCCACCGGTCCCCAGTGGGTCAGGATGGACCTCAGCAGGGCCCTGCATGTCTCCACACTCGACGCCGCCATCTCAGGCTGGGCCGACTCCTCGGCCTCCCCAGGCCTCCTTTTCCGGCCTTGAGGGCCCCTGCCTCGGATCGGCACAACAGGCCTGTTCTTATCCTTGAGCATTTCTGTTGACACAGAGGACAAGGTGGTGAGAATGCTGCCCCTTCTTGCCCAGACCCTGTTCAGTGCAGGCAGAGGCAGCTCATGGGTCTGGAGCACCCGGCTCTGCTCCTGCTCTGTCCATTGTCACTGTTACCACAATCATCTCAGTGAAGGAGGAGAACCAGGTATGGTGTGCACCTGTGATTCTGGTTGCTTAGGAGGCAGAGGCAGGGGGACTGCTTGAGCACAGCAGCTCAAAACCAGCCTGGGCTACATGAAAAAAAGAGAAAGAAAGCAGGGGAAAAAAACAAAGGAGGAAACCTATAGGTGGCAGCGCTGGAGCCTGAGTCCAGGAGGTCTGGCTCCTGTCTGTTCTTTTGACTCCACAGAATGGGACAAGGTGGGGACAAGCAGCTCTTGGCCACAGCCTGTCTCATCCCCTTAAGAAGTGAGCAGGGACACTGGGGTAGGCCAGGGGACTTGTCCTAAGGCAAAGGCTTCCAGCTGCCCAGCCCTGACCCCCTCACCCCCAAGAGCTCCAGGGCGGGGCAGAGACGCTGGGTACTTACTTGTTAGCTCCCTGACCCCGCACCTCTCCACAGTGGCCCTCAGGGCCTCCTGAAGCTTCACGTCTCTCTCAATGAGGCTCCACTTGTGAAGGAGGACCAGGACATCTTTGGTGGAAAGCATCGTCTCATTCACAGTGAATCGGCCCATGTCCCTGAAGGCCTGCAGGACGGTGGCCCGGTACCGCAGCACAGAGTCAAGTGTCTCAAAGAAGGTGCTTAGCTGGGTAGAGGCCAGGGTGGGCCTGTTTGGAGACAATGTTACACACTGAGCACAGGCTGCCCCCGACACTACTAGTAGTGCCATCCAGGTACTACTTTCGCTGTACGAGACACCTGCTGTGGCCACACGACCCAGACAAGGAAAAACTGAACCACCCTGGGGAGGGAGAGAAGGAGACCTAGTGTCCAGCCTCTTCCCTGGAGCCAGGCAGAAAGCTTGAGGGGTGGGGTGGGGCAGGGCAGGGCAGGGCAGGGGCTGCACAGAACTCCACCCAGGACAGACCCCTCTCCCTTCCAGAAAGAGACTCAAGTGCAAAGGTGGCACCGTCCCTCGGCCAGAGCCTCAGATGGGTGTTGGGAGCCAAGGGACCTCTCGGACCTCATGGAACTCAGTTGTTTTGTTCCATACAGTGTTAAAAGTAAAACCATTATTTCCAACAGCAGTCAATTCTCAGATCTCCTAGCAACCCCAAAACAAGAAGCATGACTGCCTAGCAGCGATTTAATTTCATTTGGAAAAGCACACAACAAAATCCCCTGTTCTTTATGGAGAAAGTCTTCATCCTGAGCACAATCCATTTGCTATCAATCTCCTGGCCTGTCAGCAAACGTCACTTCCTAAGTGAGAAATACGTGTGCATAAAATACAAGCCAAGGGGAACTTAGCTCTCCAGATGCAACCAGGAATCTGACTCCAAGGAATTAGATAAAAATACAGAAATATTCTGGGAAATTCTGACAAAGGCAGAGAGGATTGCTGGGTAGCACCTTGTCTTAGGTTAGGTCACAGACAGCACGCTCTTCAGTGAAACTTCACTCTGTTCATTTGAATCAATATTCTTACATAGATGCAGATGTTTTGCCTGCTAAAAATGACCTCATGTGGTGCCTTCTGAAAGTGTTCAGTTCTCAGGGCATTGAAGAAAAACCTTCCAAAGTTGAAGGGCAAAGGAAAGCGTGTAGGTAAGACGTCCTAATGCCACCCCACCTGCTCTGGCTCTAGTCAGTCCCCACCAGGCCTGCAGAGCTATGTTTGACTCCTGGTGTCTACAGATGAAAGAAAATAGTAAGCCTCACTGACCACCAACACCTACAACAGGCAAAGCAGTATTCCCTCACCTCAGGTGCTTTGCGAGCGCCATGAGGACGTAAAGGAACTCGTTGACAAGGTGCAGGGCAAGCAGCTTGCGGGGCTCCTGGGAGCCAGGCTGGTGAGGCCGCTGGCTCTCCCCCTCCAAGCCTTTGTCTCCCAGATTCGTCACCCACAGTGTGTGCAGCAAGGAGATCACATTAGACAGCAGCTGAGTCTCCAGAAACCTGAAAGCAAACACAGCAGCAGTCCACCCTGCCATGTTGTCACCTATTGGCGGGGACACAGGGCAGTACCAGTTGGTGGCTTTGCAGTCCCAATATTCCCATCACTCATGCCCCCAAAGCACATCCTTTGAATGAGAGAAGTACAGCTTTGACAGCAGGAGGGCCCTTTTCTAGGCACAGCACTGCTTAGAGCTCCTTCGGAAGCTCTGGGGCACAATTATGAAAGTGGTCTGGTCATGCTAACAACTCCAGTTCTAAAAAATAAAGTTATTAGCAGGAACAGATAACTGGCCAACTATGCAATTAAAAAAAAAAATCTCAAATAGTCTTGACAATGTATTTCTTTTATAAAGAGTTCAGGAAATACTTTTAAAACATACGAGATGGCATGAGAAACCCTGGTCTTGTTATAGCTATGGCACAGATTTTTCTCCTGGACCCAATGTAGGCAGTGGACTGCTGGACCACTGTCACACTGGGGACTCTGGCCCCAGATGACAGGACACCATTCTAGCTGTACCCTGGGGAGGACAGCAAACTGCAGGTATCAGACAGAAAGTCTGGGAGAGCTCTTGCCAATACAAGTGGCAGCTGGTGTGGACTGACCCAAGGCTGACGAGACCCTGAGGAGAAAGACACTAGTGGGGAAGACACCACCTGGACATTACCAAGAGCTGGACGACAGGTGCTCGGGGTGTTGGAGGACACTGTGTTTAGGAGAACGTGGGGTCCTCAGGACACTCCCCCTTGCACCAAAGCGAGCAGCAGGCACCAGGCCTCTACCCCACATTCTTCCTGACACATCTCTCCTGCAAAGGTACTGACCTGCCCTCCAGGATGTGCAGAATCCACGTCAGGAGACTATAGTCCCGGAGGATTTCGTAGGCAGACCTGGCAACTTGGGCTATGTTCTGTAGAATTTCCAGAATCCAAATCTGAAAACCCAAAACGGACAGATACTCACTGGTGGGGATCAGAGGAACTATTAAACAGTGTGATATGATTCTACGGTTACAGGTAGTTGCTACAATGAACACTGCTTTGCTAAGTCTGTCACAGTGAGGAGTATGAAGGAAAGCAGCCCTCCCTGCCAGTGAGTCAGAAAGGTCTTTCTCAGCAATTGAGGGTCCAGGGACCCTGCTTCTACTAACCAGGACCCAATCTGTAAGCAAAGATGCATTCCGAGACCACACACTCAGAATGCAGGCCCATTGATGCCAGCAGCCCATGCTGTCCACTGCGCCACCTGGAAAGGACACTTTGGAATTCTCAAATGCCATAATGAAAAGCTACCATATTCAAATTCCACTCAAACGTATTTTGACTCACTGTTATTTTGCCACATTTTATATAGTATCAGAATGAAAGCCGGGGCTGGGGATTTAGCTCAGCGGTATAAGCGCCTGCTTTGAAAGCAGGCAGTTGTGAGTTCGACCCCTGGTACCGATAAAAAGGAAAAAAAAAAAAAAAAAGAATGAAAGCCAACTGGGTTAGGAATTAATCAAAATATAATAACTTCTTTCTACTTATCTTATGAGATAGGGTCTCACTATATAGTTTAGGCTAATCTTGAACTCAGTGATCCTCCTGTCTCTGCTTCCTAAAGTGCTGGGCTTACAGGTGTGCACCACTAACCCCTAGCCTTATTTATTTCTTCCAAAGGCCTGTGACATTCAGAAAGCACATCAGCTGCTGATTCTAGGGCAGTGGTCTCCAACGTTTTTGGCACCAGACACTTGTTTCACTGAAAATGATTTTTTTCAAAGAAGAGAGAGTGGTGGTTTGGGGAATAGATTCCCTTAAGGAACGAGCAACCTAGATCCCTTACGTGTGCAGCTCACAGTGGGATCTGTGCTCCCATGGGAACCCAAAGCTGCCGCCAACCTGACGCGAAGCAGAGCTCAGGTGGAAATGCAAGCAATGGGGAGCAGCTATAGACCTGGAGGACACTTCGCCCACCTGCTGAGCGCCTGCATCCTAACAGCCACGGAGCATCTGCTGCTGTGGTAGGGCGGTCAGGGACTCCTGTTCTATGGAACAGAGTCGATGCACAGATTCCTGACTAGTGAGGGTAGATGCTGTTTCCAATGGCGCTGTGCTCGAAGGAAGGCACCGCGTCACTTCTGCAGGGTAACTACTTTGAGTCACCGGCTCATGACGACTGATTAGTCCCTTACTGGTGAGGGCAGAAGGAAGAGGCCTTCCTGTCTGCCAAGGGCAGTTACAAGGGCCACAAGGGAAAGCATTTCACCAGCGGACAAACAACACTCATTGCCCCACACTACACTCACAAATGAGTTGACCTGTATCACACGATCAACAGGATAGGTGCTAGCAGCTCATTTTCCCCGGCTCAAAGCCAGGTTTAGGTGCTAGTCACCCAGCCCGGGTGTAGAATCACACCAGGAGACACAGCAGAGATCTTTCGGTCACCAACTTGCAGAACCCACTGACCTGTGCCACTTCGTCACACAGTGGGCTGCTGAAGAAGGACAGGATGATGTGGAAGACGCCCCGCCTGGCACACAGCTCGTAGCATTGCTTATCTCGAATGCCCTGCCGCAGAATTCCAAGCACCCATTCCTGCTCGGTTTTGTGCTGCAATCAGAAGTCACTGTTATGTAAACTAAAGCCCTTTTATCTGACAGGCCTTCAAATTGCACAAGTTTCCAGTGGTGGTGAAGGTTGTGGCACAACAGCCCAGCTCTGAGTGTTAAGAACCCTCCATCTTGGCTTAGATTCTCTCCTCGGGCTGGGGATCCAGGCCAAGGAGAGCAGAAACAGCGAGCTGTGCTAATACACGGTGTTTTTAACATCTATCTCAGTGATGCACTGAGGAAAATCACCAGAATTCCCCAGGCTGCAGGCCTCGCCCCTAACGCAGAGCATACGGGTTTGAGGAGTGACATAAAGAACACACGGGAGCCCTGCCTATATACATGGCCCACATGGACTGCCCCTCCTCTACCTTCCTGCTCCACTCTGCTTGTGCAATTGTGTCAGCATGTAGCACACCGCAAGTAGCATCAGGGAGCCAACTGTGGCTGAATAATCAGGGCAGGAGTCTTTGGGGACCTTGGGGACTTCAGCAGCTTACCTCAAAGTCAGAGCTGTAGAAGAACTGGTAGAAGCCCGGCACCTTGTCCATGTTCAGGTAATCGTGTGACAGCAGGAACTTGCTGATCTTCCAGTACATGTGCTCCTCTGAGGATACAGGACAGTCACTGACTGGGTGCCTACAGGATGCCCGGGCTGGCAGCTTGTGCACTGGCCATAAACCCCTGTGCATGTGCAGCTTTGGCATCCTGAGCCAGGGTGCAAGTGAGAAGACAATCAGACCTGCACCGGGGTTGACTGCTGGACACGACTGCATGGAGGACGGCACAGAGTGGACACCCCCACACCCAGCACAACCACCCACCTTCACCTCCCACAGGAAGGAGTTGTCCCAGTAAGGGAGGCTCAGCCACCTTGGGCCTTGGCTCTTGGAGGCAGAGGTGGACAGAGCTTCTTCCTGTTGTAGCTCCAAGCCCAGCCCAGGCTCACTGCTGCCTGCAATGCCACACCCAACGGAAGGGTAGATGCATCAGTTATTCCCAGGTGCCACACTGGACAGCAGCTGGGACCACAGACATCATGGTCTCTGCTGTGTTTCTCATAACACGCCCTTTTGTTTAGTGTCTGAATATTTATTTTCTTTCCTTCCTAAATGTCGTAAAAATTATATGGGAGCCAACAAGAATCAGATCTGAATTCTAACAGTAACAAACTAATCATGGAGCCTTGCACGTGAGATTAAACCTACTTTGAGGGTGGGAGTGGGGGACTTGTTGGTGGGCTGTTTCCTCAACCAAGATGTGACTACGAAAGACCAAAGGGCCCCGAGGTCCCCGATGCTACCAACATTCAATCACTTTCTCCAAATAACCCAAAAGCAAGGCCCCAGATAACTGCACGCCTCCTCTTCACACTGCCTCGGTAGAGCTGTCCCACCCTAGGGTGACAAGCTGCAGCCCTGTCCCGACACCCAGGGCTCCACAGGACACTCACTCCATATGCTTTAGCAAAGTGTGCTCCACTAAATTACGCCTTTTAAGCACAAATGAGTGTGACAGTGAGTGACCAGAGCATGTCACATCTCGGGAATGTGCAGTCAGTTACACCTGCACCAGTAAATCCTGAAAGTGGACTTGCTCGGCCTCAGTTTTCCAGTTTCTCCTTGGTCAGGTTGCACATCGAGGTACCTGGTTTCAGAATCTGCAGGGCCGCCTTGGCGATGAAGAGGGCCAGGGTGAAAGGAAGTCTCAGGTTTGGAGTCTGAATGCCGTTCCGGACGACATCCAACAAGTAAAGCAGCTACAAGTGGGGAGAGGAAAAATGAGTATTTTCAAAACTGCGACACCAGGCTGGGGATTTAGCTCATTGGCAAGTGCCTGCCTGGCAAGCACTAGGTCATGAGTTCAATCCCCGGTACCAAAACCAAAAGCGACCACTTTGGCTACTGTAGCTGGGCCACCGCTTTACAGGGGCCAACTCCTCCCATCCCAGAGACTGAGACAAGCTCAGAGCAGAGGACACCAAGCTTACTGCCAACCCAGGGACGCTTTTTGGGTCTTATTTTTCTTCTAGGAGGGAGACCTGTGCCCAGTGGCAGACGGATGCCTGGCACTATACCTGGAATCAGGGTCCACTCTCATTCCTCTACCTCCACCAGGCACAGCCACCTGCACCTCTGAGTTTAGGCCAAACCCTTTGTCTGCCCACAAGAAGAGTCTGGAAGGGGAGCCCACGTTGCCTCCCTGGCAGTGGAGGTCAGAGGCAACCTTCTGTGTCCCTTGCCAAGGGGAACAGCCTCATCTCCCAGCAACACACCAGCTCCTCATCCCTCGACCTTCTCCCACCAGGCTGGCTCACCCCAGGGCACTGCCCTCATCCTACTCACCTGGGACTGCTCCCGGAAACGAGCCCCCTCCAGGTGTGAGTAGAAGGCTGCCAGGACAGAGTAGGCTGCCGCTCGCATCTGGGGGTCGTAGCTGCTGAGGGCCGCAACAGTAAGGCCCAGAGCATTAGAATCCAAGAACTTTCGACAGTCCACCACACATTCTACCAGAAGTAAAGCATACCGTTAAACACACAGTAAGATTTCACGGCTCCTCTGCAGCTTGGGGCATTCTGTTTTCTTCCGCACCCTACCAACAGCAGCTACCAGTGCTAGACACAAGGAAGCAAGTCTCTCTGGGTGCCCCAGCTGCTGCTGAGGCCGGACAGAGACTCTCTCTCCTTCCCCAGCAATCATTACGATTCCTTCAGTTTCTACGGCACTAGGGTTATTCATTATTTCTCACCAACATGCAACAAGCTAGACGGAGGCCCACTACTGAGATCTCCACAGCCAGAAGCGTGGGGACACAGCTGGGAGTCAGTAGAGAAATGGGCAGCCAGTTTCTACCCTGCCCGGGCTGTTGGCCTGCTGCCTCTGGAATCCTGTGCCCAAGCACCACAGAGGAAAACTCAGGACAGAGTGTGAGCTGAGAAACGCAGCCACTGCACAGCAGGCAGACCTGTCCTGTAATTTCACAAAAAGATTTACCCCCATCTACTGTGACCCTCATTCACGCTTCAAACAACAAGAATCTCTCAGAAGAGTGGCTCACCGAGCTTGAGCAAGAGCAACAGGGAAAAAGCCTGTGGCTGCTGCCCACTCGCCACGGTGAGGCCTCAAGATGCTCCTAACTGCCCCAGGAGAGAGCAAGACTGGGCGAGAAGCCAGGTACTGTTCTGATACTTGCAGGTAGGGGGAGCCAAACTTATCCAAAGGCTTTTTTTTGAGACAGGGTATTGCTTCGTAGTTCTGCCTGGCCTTGAACTGACTATGTAGCCCAGACTGGCATCAAACTCATGGCAATCCATGCATTTGCTTCAGTCTTCTGAATGCTGGGGATATAAGCTTGTGCCACAACGCCCAGCACCACCATTTAAGGGGATTGTTTTCACTCATAAAATGTGGAACATTTCAATTCCTCTTTCATAAGAATTTAGTTCCACTAAATTCTTTCATAAAAATTTAGTTTCACTAAATTCTTTCATAAGAATTTAGTTCCACTGTGAGGATTCTTAATGGAAATATTGCAGACAGAAGGAAAATGACAGTAAAGAGAAATCTTGATATATTAGATGTGGTCAAATAAACATAGTAAATATGAAAATTTTTTAAAAATTTGGCATAGTAAAAGACCCGTTGCCATGAACTCCTCTTTTGCAAGTATTTTTATGAGGTATGACCAAAAATCCCATGAATGTGCTGCTGAGTGCTATCCAGTGGGAAAGCAGGCTTGTAGGAACATTATACTGCATCTTCATCCACCTGATGGACTAGATCTGGCACGATGTGACTTCTGGCTCGTCCCCAAAGTCAAAGTGACCATAAAAGGATCACATTTTAGGATACTGTGGCAGCTAAGACAGTGCAACTAAAGACATTAACAAAAGAGAACTCCAGAACTGTCTCAGAGAGTGGCAAGAACCACGGGATAAGTGTGTTTGAATCAAAGGCAAATATTTTGAGAGAGATTAATGGCAATGCATCATTTACTGAAGTAAAACAAGACCAAAAACCCCCACTCACTGTATTTTTTTTTTTTTGGTCTTTTTCCTTTTTATTGGTACCAGGGATCGAACTCATGACTGCCTGCTTGCAAGGCAGGCGCTTATGCCGCTGAGCTAAATCCCCAGCCCCATCACTGTATTTTTGATCACACCACATACACAAAGGAGTGGAGAGAACAAGAAATGCCCACTATATGGTAACTATGAAATACTTAAATTTCTTTAAAAATCTGAAGTAAAAATTGCAAGGTTTTATGGGTACTGAAGTACAACATATGATAAGAACAACACAAAAGCCAGGAAGAAAGAGATATATCTATACTTTGGAGGCATCCTTACTCTGTGCACAAAGTAAAATCATCTCACTGGAAGGGAAACTGCGATACATTGAAGATATATGGTATAAAACCTAAAACAACCATTTAACAAGCACATACACATACACACACAGAGGTGGCTAAAACAAAAACAGCACAAGAAGATAAAATGGAGTCAGATCAATAATCACATTAAGTGTAAGTGGTATATATAATACTCCAATTAAACAGCAAAGACACTAAAGAAAAAAAAAGAGGCAGGGATGATCCATCATATTAGATAAAAAGCAGATTTCAACTATATGTTGCCTTCCAGAAGTCCATTTTTAATATCAAGACAGATTAAAAGAAGAATCAACTTATGGATTGAATTTTCTTATAAGCAATTTTTTTTTGGATAGGAAAAAAAAAAAAGAGTCCAAAAGCTTTAAAAGTTTTTTTGGTACGATTATGTTATTTTGGAAAAGAGATGTGTTTACTTTTCATTTATTTACTTTCTGAGACAAAGTTTCACTGTGTAGTGCAGGTTGGCCTTGAGTTCACTATGTAGCCCAGCCTGGCCTCAGACTCACAATGATCCTCCTGCCTCGGCCTCCTGAATGCTGGGAATACAAGCATGTACCAGTATAACTGGCAAATGTGTTTAAAAGACACACACATACCTACATAACAAGTGCACATAAATAGAATATATTTGAGAGAGGGAACAGTCTAAACACTTAATATTACACTCACTGAAAGGAGCCAGTACTTAACTGGATGGTGTATTTTTAGTAATCAATGACATTCTAAAACAACTGAATTTTCCATGATTACAAGGAAAATTTAATTTCATGTTTCAAGCCTGATACTCTACGGAAGTCCTGGCTCTGCAACATTTATGCAAAGGAGCTGCCCTTGGCATGCTGAAAATATAATGGGCTATTTAAAACTCACATTCTCTCTGTTTTAAGAACCTCACGTATAGCAATTTGGCTTCCAGAACAGACCTTCTGGTCCAAATGGCTCGAGCAGGACAATTATAAAGGATTAAAATCAAAGTGCCCCGCTTTGAGTGGGTTTTCACACAGTGCCCATTGCTCCTGTGGCACCAGAAGCCTTTCTCCAGCCTCTTCTCAACAACATCAGATGAGAACTGCCAGGCAGGTCTCTTCTGAGTGAGAAGTGCCACCGGGCCAGAGCAGTGAGGCTCAGGAAACAACAAGTGGCCCTTTCCTTATGGCAATGTGAAGTATGAGCTGCAGATCACAGCCCTATCCCACTGAGGATAAAAATCTGCTGTGGAAAAAGCATTTATCACTGTCACTGCTAACAGCCAAGGCTGGTCCCGTTTCTTGGCCAAGGACTCCAAGAAGGGAAGCAGTAAGGTTAGGAAAACAGGACCCCACTTTCAGCAAAGGTTGAAAATGGAGAGGGAGGCGTGGTTCCTGAGGGGAGCGCACACACAGACTAATGCCTGCCTGTGGGGACTGCAGCAAAGTTAGCGACCCCTGGGCCGGCCAAGAGCGGAGGCTTCCCTGGGACCTTATGCTATACATAACTCAGGTGCACCTCACAAGGGCAGAGGGAAGCTGGCTAGCAGAGAATGCATCGTGTATGACACTTCCCCGGGAAGCTCAAACAAACAACGCTGCCCACACCACGGCTGAGAGGCATCAACCACGTTCTGTTTCTCAAGAAGCTGGCCCCGAAACTCCCCCTGGGTAAGCACAATCTGAGCACCGTAATTTACTTCCGTGCACTAGCCATTATCGTCCCATGAGCTGATGTGCTGCTTTTCAGGGGTTGGTGTGCTGTGCTTAGAACACCACAGTCCCGCTTTTCGCTCAGGACAAGACGTCACGAGGAACACCCACGCACCCTGCGTGTGGTGGGTTTTGGTACATCTCTTGCACTTTTCTTTCCACTTCTATGGTTCCTGAAATGTTCTACTTCAATGTAAATTTTTGGTGTCATCAGTGTTCTGAGCTACCCAAAACACACACACACACAATCCACAAAAAAGCCCTGTAAGAGACGAGGATAGTTGTCCCTTACATTTAAAACAAAACCCAAAACCAAAAAACCTTTCTTGTACCAATAAAACTTAAAATAGGCCATTCTGGGAGATTTAAAGGAAAGGGGAACAGTGACGATATAATCCTCTGATTTAAGAAATCATTTTCCAGTCACCTCTCATCACAAAAAGCTTCCTAGGCTCTGTCCCTGACCCACAAGAAAAAGCACAGTATTCAAGAGTTTGTGGAAAATATCCCCCCATTTTACTATTAAACATTTTCCAAGCCACTGCCTCTGTCTTCTGAAAGCGTCATTGTGAGACAGAGGAAGAGACTCAATGGCTTGTTAGCGTTCACCCAAGTATAATGACCAGCAACGTCACAGTGTATTTTTAGACCATGGAAAATCTATTTTCACGTTTGACGAAGAACAGATTGGGCCAGCACTGCCAAGGCCCAGGGAGTCAGCAGGGCTGGACCCATGGTCACCAGGGAGTTAAGGAGCCAGGCTATGATCACCCCAGCTGACCTGTATACAAAAGGTTTCTACTCTCTTTCTGATAAAACCCAACTTCAGCCACAGAGCATCCAGGGAGCCCCCGGTGGCACAAGGGCCACTGACAGGGAGGTCTCTGCGGAAAGCCAGCCCTCTTTGATCCTTCTAAAAGGACACAAAGGGCAGTGGCAGAAGTTCAGCAAGTTTGCTCACAGGCAGGGAGACTGCTGTAGAAAAAGAAAATGTCAAGCTTAACACAGGGAAAAAGAGGACAAGCAGTGGACGTGAACGCTCTCGTCCACCTAATCACACAGTCTGTGCGCCCCATGCTGAGAAGCCCTCCCATATCACTCTGGCTGTGCCCACTGTCACAGATGCCAAACCTGCCACACTGATGACTCCGAGAGCCCTTTCTCACAGGCCTGGCTGGGCTCAGGCCTGTGAAAGCAAGGCAGACGCGAGGACAGGCGTGGTGATATGCCTTCCTCCAGTGAGGATGCCATGGCCAGAGGCAGGGGGAGGAAGAGAGTTCACCATGAACTCTTAGAACCGCCTAAATTGTTAGCAAATGCTAAAACCAGTTAAATTAGATTGTCAGTTCTGCTAAAATAGACAGGCATACTTTCCCCTATTTTTCCTATTAAGTATAACTAAAGAGTATTTGTGGGGAGGGGTGTTGAGGCAGGGTCTCACTACGTAGTTGAGGCTGGCCTTGAACTCACTATGTCGTCCAGGCTGCTTCACAGCAATCTCACTTAGATCCTCCTGCCTCTGCCTCCCACTGAGGATTATAGGGGTGCACCACCATGCCTGGCACAACTAAGGGTCTTGAACCTTATATTTAAAATAAACACGAGATAACTGAGAGGGAGAAAGCAGAACAGCTCAAGACCTCAAGACCCAGAAAAGGGTGAGGAGGGGAGTCCCTGGACTGTCCTGTTGCCTCCTGTATTCCAGAGTCAGAGCTGAAGAAGCCACTGACTTAGAGACACCAACAGGCACAGACCCCAGAACCTGCGTTCAACCAAGACTGGAAAGGGCCAGTCTAGCAAGACAGAAATCCTTCAGATGGCCACACTGTCACTGCAGGCCCTCTCGCCCCAGCCAAAGTGGACAGGACACCAAGATCCTGCCAGGCTGCAAGGAAGAGGTTCATTCACTGGGAGATGACTCGCACCCCACTGCACATTGACAGCACCCTGTGGCTCCCCATTAGGTCAGAAGAAGCCCAGGGGCCAGCAAGGTGCCCAGCACCTGGCATCCATTACAGCCACCTCGACCTTCCCCAGGGCCTTTTTAACAGGTGGGGCCCCAGCAACTAGACAGCCCAAGTGGAGTAGGCCTGGCCCTCAACCCCACAGCTCACCCAGAAGCCAGCATGGACCACTGACTTACAAGCAAGAACCAAATTTTTAGTGTAACTTTCGCTCTGTGAAAAGACAAGCTACAGACAGAATATGACCTTTCTATCCTTCCAGGGATTAGTCCTATCTCTGAATACATGACAAATCCTGTAAAATACAGACTCTCACTAGGAAAAACCCCAACACACATTTCACCTAAAAGGGACTGTCTTTTTTCACATGGAACGATCAATTTGGCCTTGCTAATACGTGTACGGTTTGCCCCTGCTTACTTAGTTTCACTTCCCGAGATTTCAGGCACCTGCCATCAGCTGACTTTTAAACACAGCATTCCAGAAGTAAACCATGCCTGGGTTAGACGGTCTGCTGTTATGCCATTCATGAACCGCTGAGCGTCAGGCCCAGGCAGCGAGTCATCCTCCCAGTCAGGGTTCCTGCTCCTCTTAGTAAACGGTGTGTCCATCAGACCCGCTGTCTGGGATCACAGTGCCTGTGTTCACACCCTAACAGGAAGGTCCCAAAGTGTGGGACAGTGAGGCCCGCACATGTCAGAGTGAAGCCACACAGTGCTACCGTTGGGTGAAAGAGTTTTGCCTATATGTTGACTAACTATGGGAAGCCACTGTTCCCTCCGAGGTCTGGGCAAAAGGGACACAGGGCTCAGCTCTAGCTGTTGCTTCAGGGACTCCCTTATGGTCTCAGAACGAGTTCCTTGGGTGAGAGAGGTCTGAGGCACACATACACGTTCTCACTCTGTCTCTCATCCAGAGCCACCCGCCCCTGGAAGCTGGACAAAAAGCCTTTTCTAAATTTACTTTAAGCAAGAAAAAGCTGACTTCGGCAGACTTGGACTTGTCCCCAAGTACAGACTCTTGTTCCCATTCGTATCTGCCCACTGCCCACTAACGTTCCCAACGCAGTCCTCTCTAGGAGCTAGGAAGACCTCAGGGACAGACGGACACTATGTCTAGGTAAGATTTTAAGACTGGGGATTTTTTTTTAAATTGTTATATATTCAAATCATAACAAAACTGCTGTATATTCAAAACATGAACCCAGACTTTGCTGACAATCACTGGGATAAAAAGGCAAGGAGAAACTGAAGATCCTGAAGGAACACGTTTCAAGATCCAAATCCTACTCTGGGTGTCACGGAGACAATCCCCATGTCTCCTGCCCAGAATCCCCAGCAACGCACCCGACTCTAGGAGGGAGGCAGTGCTTACCTGGCCTGGTCAGTTCCACAAAGAGAGGAAGGAGAAAGCAGGGGTCATACAGGCCTCTGGGATCCACTCTCATGCTCTTGTCTTTAAACATCGCCTCCTGCAATATCCAAAACCAACAAAAACGTGCAGTTCAACTTCATGAATGCAAAGCAGACAAATGTGAATCCACTACGGTTGGAGCTCAAATTATTTTCACTATTTAAGAGCATAAGGCAAAAGGAGCTCTACGCCAGGCGTGGTGATGTGGAGGCTGAGATAGGAGGATCAAAAGTTTTTGTCTAGCCTGGGCAGCTTAGTGACTTCATGAGACCCTGTCTCAAAATGATAAGTAAGAAAGGGCCAGAGGCATAGCTCAGTGTGAGGGCCGTAGGGAGAAATTGGCTCCATGAAAAGTGCTTACACATGAAAATACAATCTTTGGGGTTTTCTTAAAATGAGCCTTTTTAGGGGAGGAAGGAAGGAAGGAGTAATAAGTAAGAGGGAGTTACAACAGTGGCTGAAGCTGGGGGCTGGGACACGGTACACTCTGTACCTCTGCATGGGGCTGGAATTCTACTTCATAAAAAGGAAACAGGACGTCCAAACCCCAGGAGCAGACGTGCCTGGGTAGTAGGGGGCAGGGCAGCCGCCGCCTCACCTCGGAGGGCAGCAGCCTGCGGTTCTGGGGGAAGTGCAGAATGGTCTGTAGCATGCGGTCTCGGTCCAGCAGGCAGAGGATGTCGGCGACACTCGGCTGCTGCCACAGGGACTTGCCGAGGCTCCGGCACGTCTTGTGATGCTCCACGGCCGCCGGGCCCCACAGCAGCACCCTAGAGCCGAAGAGGCAGACAGACTGGTCCCAGGGTCCCAGAATCGGTGAGGAGAACAATGGTGACAGCCACAACAGTAGTGTGAGGAGCTGCCGCCTCACACAGCCACTGCTCTGGGCTAGCACCTGTGTCCAACACCCCATGGCGTCTCAGCTCCCGAGGTGGGCAGTGGTGAGATGCTGAGGTGCAGGATGAGCCTGCACTGTTCTAAGTCCTTTAGTACATTATTAGTCCACCTGGAGGATTCTTCCTAACCTCTTATGTGAAGTGGGGAGAGAGGCACAGCAACAATTAGACAGTCTCATAGCTGGTCACCAGCCAAGCAGGCAAGAGAGAGGACCAGGATCTGAACCCGGGGAGTCGAGCTCCAGAGTCCGTGCTGGACTAGATGCAGAATCATCACCTCTTTCCAACCTCAGGCTACTACCCATGAACCAAGTGACCCAGCACACCCACCTCAAGAACCTACCATGTGTATGCCACACAGTACCCAGCAGCTAGAGACCGACTCGGCCTCTCCCCTCCCCATTCCTCTCCTTCCTAGCCGCCCACCTCACCCCTGTCAGGATGACCCCCAGAGCCCACTCGGAGGGGCCCATGTCCCCACTCGGACTCATGCACCTGCCTTCTGCCACTTATTAAACACTTCAAACAGGATTCTTCTAAATTGAGACTCATTTCTGTGCAATAAATGATAGATATCAAAGTTAAAGAGTAAAGAATCGTTCTTTAGGGAGGTGCCTGCTGCTGTGGGGGATGCTTGTTACCCAGGCAGGGCTCCCGTGTTCAGGCCGGCCCCGCCTACAGGTACTTCGTGAAGGTCATCAGGAGACTCTCTGAGAAACACGTGAGCTCCACATCCTCCTCGGGGAGCTGCATGAGGCTCGTTATGTGAGCAGTGCCAACCTGTTCACTCCCTGCAAGCTCCTGCAGCTTTCTCTGCTCTCTGAGGGCATCTGATGCCCCTGGTGCTCCCCTCTTTCTGCCAGCAGACAGGGCCTGTCCTGATCCACCAAAGAAACAGCTGACAGAGCAGTGACCCCATGCAATAGGATGGAGAAGCCAGTGCAGAAGGAAGAACAATACCTACCCAATACCTGGCCGTTCTTTCCTCAGTACCGGATCCTGAACCCAGGGTCTTTGAGCTAAACTAAATCCCCATCCCTTATTTCATTTCCAGCCAGTGTCCCACTAAGTCATGAAGTATTTCAGGCTGGCATCAACCTCGTGACCTTCCTGCTACAGCCTCCAGAGTGCTGGGATCACAGTCTATTTTTCCTGTCCTACCATTCTTAAATGATAGAAAATGTTTTTATTTCTTTTTTTTCTTCCTTTCCTCTGGGCTAATTCAGCCTTTAGCTTTTAACAAGGTGCTCTCTAAAAGGAAAATATTTTCTTTTCCCTGCAGAGCTCTCCTGGACTCTCTATCTTGGCCTGTTTAGCTTACTTCCTATCTGAACACACAAGGTCTGTCTTTATGTGTGTCTTGGGCAGACAGGAGGGTGCTGGTTCCAAATGATGAGGAGAAAAGAAGAATTCAAGGAACAAAGAGCCCAACAATGCTTCCTATCAAGTGTGAGCTGGGTTGCTTCCTGCTTGGCCCTGGTGCTTGCAGAGATGAAGCAGGGTCCCAAGGGAGAAGCATGACGCCCAGCCCCTTAAGACAGCACCGTGCAGAACAAGGACATGGCAACAAGCCTGCTACAGCCCAGGACACACAGAGGAAGAACGACCGACAGGAGAGAACAGAGACAGGGACACACCGAAAGTCAATTGATTTTATGTTCAGGCTTCCTCTCTCTTCTCCCCCAAGCCCTTTACCCTGTCACTCCCTTTAAAGTGAAGAGAGAAAGGTACTCAGAAAATTCAGTGACACAATATCTCCCAGCCAGGAGTGACCTGCCCCAGGTCTTCCAGAGACAGGCACCCATCAGCCAGCAGGCACAGGCAGTCCAGCAGACATGCCTCTCAGTGCTGGCGAGGAAACTCCCCAGAGCAGCTACCTTGGGGCTATGAATGAGCTAGGCGACCTCTGCCTGTCTCCCTTGCCATGAGAAAAATCTGGAGTCCGGAGCTCACCGCACAGAGTGGGGAGGACACATCAGAAGGGCTGATGCCCTCCCTGCCTACCAGTCCCCGCCCACCTGTAGCACCAACCCTCACCGGAAGTTGATGAGGCTCAGCTTGTTCTGTTCATACGCCTGGAGGAGAAGTAAGATCTTCTGGTCTGGAAGTCCAAAGACGGTCACGTTAGGGGGTTGAGCCTGACACGTGAGGGGTGCTCTCCGGCAGTCGTCGGCCTCACACCGCATCCCGCCACACACTCAGCCCTCCTGACTCACCCAGGGTGCTGAGGGTGGCGCCATAGGCCCCAAGCAGCACTGCGAAGTGGCTGCTCTCGCAGACAGAGGGGCACATCCTCACCACCATCGCCATCAGGTCCACCAGGGCTTCTGCAAGAGACGACACCGAATTAGCAGTACCCCAGGCGACGGACATTCAGGGTACAGTGAGGGCAGGGAATGCTCACATGCTGGAAATATCCCTCCCTCATCAGTGCGGTCTTGGGGCCACCACCTAGTTCTTTTTTTGTTCCTAAATATTTTTAACATAAACACATGAACAATCACTGTGTCTCTATGACTTTGACAAAACAGAAGCTGAGTCTGCTCATGCCCTCTCCCAAATTTTAAGCCACTTAGGATTTTTAAATTTAAGTATTTCTCTCATGATTATGCTATCAAAATCCTTACTGCTTCTACTCCCAGGTGAACAGAGGGCAGAGCCCTTTGTACCTTCTCTAGTATCCATGGCAGTAATTTGAGCAGGGGTCATCTTCCACCCAACAGCTGGACAGACCCTGACCTGGTGTGATCTCTGTTGGTCTGGGGGTATTGACTGTCTCTATATACAGTCTGTGTCTTCAAAGGGACAGCGACCTGCAGACCATCTTCCCTGACATCCTCTGCAGCCTGGATCATCCTTGGGATTCTGAGAAGTAGGGTAGACGCTCCCTGAATCGGGGACTGAGACACTGTGGCCTTTGGAAGTGACCCAGAGCAGAGGACTGCCAACAGCCAAGTTCCACTCCTTTTTCCTTCATCAGTTTCAATCACTCTGCTAGGAAAATCTGTGCGACTCATCAATTCCTCTCTGGTCAGATCCCTGCGCTTGTTTTCCTCAGCCTGCTAACCCCGTCTAACTACGGGACTACAGTCCCAGAATCTGACAGGTGAGAAGAGCCCCGACAAGATTGCCACGAGTGGGGCAAGGCCTTGAAAACAGGTCTGTGGTGCTGCGTGAAGGCACAGGCATGTCTCCTGCCCCTGGGCCTGACAGAAAGGGGAGTTTTGCCAGTGCTTGCTTAGCTCTGAAACCAGGGGATAGAGCTGAACTGGGCAGGGGAAGGTGAACGAGGGTGGGGGAGGACTCACCTTTGACGTCACTGTCTGGGGTCTCCTCTCCCTCAGCTGTCAGCAGGCTGGGCAGGAACAGGGAGTGCTGAGTGAGCATCATGTGGATGGTGCGCAGCTGCACAAGCCTGGGGTGCACGGAGCTCTCTGGGCCATATAGGAGCTGCACAGCAGCATGCAGGGTTTCTAGAAAGATGTGGTTCTGATACCGAGACCTGAGAGGAGGCAAGAGCCACAGGGATGGAGTTTCACAAAGGGGAGGTTATTTTATAGGACACAAAAAGACAACTGTTTATTCTCCTCAGATTTTTCTCAAGGAAATATGCAAATAGCACAAAGCCGAGACTCTCACAGCGGACATCCACTATTCACACACCTACCGTCTGGCTCTGCCCACTGCCCTGTCTACCCTGCTCCTATCTGTGCACTGTCCCACAGAGCGCTCCTAGCAATGATGGTGACATGCGCTGAGAACTTTGTCTTCAGGCGATTTTGTCACTGTACCAACACCAGAATGTCCTTACAAAAGCTCGGACAACCTAGGTGGCACACAACTGCATTTTGTTTCTGACACAAACAGTGAATGAACCTCTTTTCCAGTTGAAACATGAGAGAGTTTGACAGTAGAACCTGAGCAGAGACCCTGCCACGTCGGCCTGTTTCCCTCCGGCCACTCAGAATTCCCACCGAAGGGCTTTGAAGCCACATCTTACAGACCTTCACGGTCCACTAACACAAAGGAAGCGCTGTGCTCTAAAATAAAGCTTTTAGTTCTACGTAATTTTAAGAATCCACATAAAGTGAACATCCTGCAAACATCAATCAACCAAGGCAGAAAAATGTACCCATTCTATGATGATCCTTTATTGCTCTTGCTCACTTCTTTCTCTCTCCTCTGCTCAGGATATTCTCTGACAAAGTGCACAACCACACAGATGAAAACTACAGGCTCAGTAGGACACCATTTTATGACTATGACACTGCCAGAAGTGAATTGAGTCTGATTCCATCTACGACCAGGGAGGATGCAAGGCCAAAGGAACTCTTGCACACTCCAGGGACTCTGAAGGTGTGCCCACACAAGAAGCCAGTAACCCCATCTCACACCAACACTGCCTCCTGGGCATCCAGAGACATGGGACAGTCACCCCAAGACTACAAGCAAGAGATGCAGAGAAGCAGCCCACCCACTTTTAATTGAGGACTGGACAGGTAAACTGGTGCAGACTCCAAAGACAGAATGATACAGAGAAAAAATGAATTAATTTGCATGTATCAATGTGGATAAATCAGAAACTTCTGAGTAAAATCAAGGACATACAAGGAATGTCATGCCTGTGTACAACTTTAAGCACACTAAGTAATACTGTTGAAGCACACACTGACATATAAAGTATGAAATACAAAATGCACAGGCCCGAGACAAAGGATAGACTCCAGAGGTGGCGATCTGCAGTTGGGGAGAGATAAAAAACAATTCAAACAAATATGGAAAACAGTCAACATTTATCAAATCTGTTCTGTTATTCTTTGCACATTTCTGTATTTTTAAAATATCCTATTTTTTTTTTGTCTTTTTCATTTTTATCAGTACCGGGGATCGAATTCATGACTGCCTGCTTGCAAGGCAGACGCTTATGCCGCTGAGCTAAACCTCCAGCCCCTAAATATCGTATTCTTTAAAAAGCTGCTCCTCTCTTCAACATGAGAAGCACCCTGGGCATCACTAGGCAAATCACTTAACACATCCGACAGTCCTCATCTTCCGCCTCAAACCTGACGCAAAACCCTGCTCCACTATGTGGGTCACAGTGGTCACAAGCTACAAAGGGGCTGTGCACGAGCACTGACTTTCGCATCAGCAAAATAAAATCTACTTACTTGAGTCCAGTCTTCATGAATTTCTGCCAATCACCAGGATCAATGTCTTTAAGTGCACGCTAAGAATAAAGCAAGAAGACATTTTAAAAATATCGAAAGGCACCAGCTGTACAGCTTCAGGAAGGAACCCGCCTATCTTGGTTTGGTTCTCCTGAGACACTTGGCCCACAGCTTAGAAACAGAGCTCCCCCCACCACTGGGCTCCAGGCTCCAGCAGCTCCTGTCTGTGATGCTGCCCAGCAGCTCCTGTGTAGCATGAGAGCAGCATCTCATTCCTAATGAGCATGAGACAGCTCAACCTTACGGGGGACAGATTAACCTTAAAACAAAAACTAAAATGTAGATAATGAAATTGAAGTTAGAGCCACTCAGGAAATAAGAAACATAGCCAGCAGGGCATAGTGGTGCACAACTATAATCCCTGCACTTGGGAACACAGAGGCAGGAGGGATCAAAAGTTCAGGTCCTGCCTGGACAACTTAATGAGCTCCTGAATCAGGACAACATATTAAAAACAGGGCTGGGGGGCTGGAGGTTTAGCCCAGCAGCATAAGCGCCTGCCTTGGAAGCAGGCAGTCGTGAATTCGATCCCCGGTACCGATAAAAAGGAAAAAGACAAAAAAAAAAAAAAAAAAAAAAAAAACCAGGGCCGGAGATGATGCAGTTCAAAGGTAGAATGCCAGTGGTTTTCATTGGCATTACTACAAAAGAAAGAAAAGAAGGAGGAAGTTAGCCAATAACCTGCAACTGCACATAGTGTTTTGGCATGTGGGTATTTCTTTTTTTAACTTTAAAAATGTTGGTTATTTCTGCCAGTAGCTCTGACAGTTTATTAGGATAGCTGTGCTCACCAAATGGGTAAGAGGACATTTCCCGATCAGTCCTGCTATATTTTCCTTTGTTTTCAGATAGCACCAATGGATCTACAAATCAGTCTGCTACAAACTGGCCAATGAAACCACCCCTGCTTAGCCCACAGGTTACAGAAACAATCGAGGGACTGGTACTAGGGCAAAGATCAGCTCAGGATAGCATGTGCCTCTACCAGGTCATCATGCATTGACACCTCACTGCCAGGCATTGCAAGGAAAACCCCAGGTGCAGCCGGCTCCTATTCACACATTCTTAATGCCCAGTAAGCCTCCTTTCAGGAATTCTCCTGGAGGTAACTGGTCGTGGGCAAAGATGAGCCACACATTACTTATCACAGCACTCTTTATAAGAGCAAGAAGCCAGAGAGCCACCCCTGGGCCAGTGATACACGTTCATCTCCTTAGGAGACCACGGCATAACTATCAATTCAACAAGTATCCAGTCACTGGTGTCAGGATAAAAAAAAAAATCTCAAAATTCAGTATTATGTTAAAAGCAAAAGAAAACAAATATCCAAAAAACCTAGCTACACACAGCTTGCATAACATGATCCCATTAGTTCATAAAATTACACTTGGCTTTATCCCTCTCTCACCTACACATACACAATACACAGCAAGATTCCTGGAAGCATATTTACCTCTCAACACAGATGGCTCCTATGTGATGAGAAATTTTTATTTGTGTTTTCTTCATTGTTTACATTTTTAATGCATATGTTTGTTAGCTTTGTAATTACAAAACTCTAATATTTCCAAATTTTCACAAACTTGGGAAGGGGAGGTCAAATTCAAACAGTGGAAGACCACTCAGCAACAAAAAGCAGTAATCTATTTATTCCTAAAACAGCTGAGTCAGGAGGGCATGGCTTAACTAGAAGAAACCACATGTACATGAAAGAGTATGTGGTACTGTGGAGTCTGTGGAGGGTCTAAAACAGGAACAACCACCTAATGGTGATAAAAATCAAAAGAGCAGCTGCCTCAGAGTGAAGGGGATTCTGGGAAAGCACAAGGAATTTTGAGATGAAAATCCTGGCCAAGAGGGTGGGGTATACAGGAACATGTACTATGTACTGATAGTTCAATACTGGCTTATAAAACTTAAAACCATTCAGCAGCACACAGCTTGGTCTATGATCTGCAAGTGTGTTTACTATATACTTGCTCGCTGCCTGGAGTTATTTTCCGAAGGATTACTTTAAAATCGTGGTTCAGAGATTAAACCTAAGTCACAGATTCTAGGAATATTAATGAACTTTTGCACCATGAAATGAGATGATTACATACTTAGGTAAACTTCAATTAATTATTTCTGTGCAAAAATACGTTTTGAAGGGGCTGGGGATTTAGCTCAGTGGCATAAGCGCCTGCCTTGAAGCAGGCAGTCATGAGTTCGATCTCCGGTACCGATAAAAAGGAAAAAGACCAAAAAAAAAAAAAAAAAAAAAGTTTTGAAGAGAGGACACTAAGAGAAAGGAATAATGGCTGAATATTTCTAAATTTTATAAAAATTATCAACTCACACATCAATTAGATCACTGAACCCGAATTGCAAACAATTTGAAAAAAAAAAGGGATTGGGGATTTAGCTCAGTGGCATAAGCGCCTGCCTTGCAAGCAGGCAGTCGTGAGTTTGGTCCCCAATACCGATAAAAAGGAAAAAAAACCAAAAAAAAAATGCACCAAGAGGCAACGTAACCAAATAGCTTTAAACCATGCTTAAAAAAATTCTTAGAGGGCCAAGTGTTTAGCTCAGTGGGGTAAGTGCCTACTTGGCAAATGCAAAGTTGTGAGTTTGAGCCTTGGTACCAAAAAAAAAAAAAATCTTAAGAGCCAGGGATCTCAGAGATAGAGCACCTGCCTAGCATGTTCAGGCCTGCATTCAATCCCCAGCACCATCAAACATACAGAAAAGCAAAAATAAGAATGACATATTTCTTACTGGAAACAAAGAAAGCCAGAAGACATTCCCATTCATTCTATGAGGTCAGCATTAGCTCATTAAAGACATCATAGGTTTAAAAGAAATCATAAACTAATCCCCTCATGCACAGATGCAGATTCTTAACAAAACATTAGCAACATACAAAAAAATAATACAACATGATCAAATAGGTTTGTCCCAAAAGTATAAGATTGGCTTCACATTCAACAATCAACTAACATAATTCACCTTATTAACAGCCTAATCAAAACACAAGACTATATAACATCTCTGTAAAGTATTTAACTAAAAGCAGCCTCTGTCCTGGAGAAGAGGACTAATTCGGGGGCTGCCTGACTTGCCGACAGAGCCCCTCATTTTCTACTGGGCCATCTTCATGTCAAACAGCTGGAAAGCATGGTTTGTCTAGTTGGCTGTCCTTGAAAACGTAACTGGAATCTCCAGGAAAAGATACTCACCAACAACTCAAGTAGCCTGAGCAGCATCTGCTTCTCTAGGTCCTGGGTGCTGCCACTGCCTGGCTGGCTGCCACTGAAGGACACAATCAGCCACTGCACACAGGACTGCAGGAGGGTCTTCCTCCAGGTGCCCAGCATTTCTGCTGACTGCTCCAGGGCTGCTGAGACAGAGTCTGCCACAATCCAACTGCAGCAGGAGACCAGAGGTGCAGAGTTAGGAGGAGGCTGTCATCCAACATTGCAAAGGCCTGTATGGAACAGCTGCCTTGAGTCCTGATTCTGTTCACTTTGGGACCCACAGGCTCCTCCCAACCCTTACACATCTAAGAGGCCCCAGAATATTACAGCTGGCAGTATCAGCACACCAGGGAAAAGGTGTGCATATCCAGACTGAGATCAGGGCATCTCCACCCCAGCACTAATGCCATTCAGAGCCAGATAATCCTTTCTTGCGGAGGTGGGGTGGGGGTCCACACCTAGCCACCTCCGCCCTCTGGATGCTACAAGCCATACCCCATGCCTCAGCTATTTTATTTTATTTTTTTTTTTTTGTTTTTATCGGTACCGTGGATCGAACTCATGACCTCGCACTTGCAAGGCAGGCACTTATGCGCTGAGCTAAATCCTCAGCCCCATGCCTCAGCTATGATAAACAAACTCGACACTGACAGCCATCCCTGCAGAAACCAACACCCTGAGACTGCCTACTCTCAGGAAACTAGCTGTCCCCTCTCAGAGATGGCCTTGCTCCAGCCAGGACAGGTAGCACGAAGAGTTTTCATCTTAACTGCCTTCCCATGGACAGCACAACAGGGCGGCAGCCTCTACTACTATCTTGCTTCATTAAGATGAAGGAGCACAATGGAGCTTAGAGGGCACCCAGTGACCTTGGCCTTTTACCTCTTGTGACTGCCTGGAGCCTGAAGCAAGCTGGGCAAACGGTCCATGAGTGCACGGAGGTCTTTGGCCCTGGCAAATGGGACTAGCTGGGCCAGAACTTCCTGAATCAGGCCTGACTCTGGGGGTCCATCAGGACTGAGGAGCCTGTCTTGGAGCTGTTTCCACAGGGCCTTCCTCAGGACAGGAATGACAGTGGAGGATGCTAGGGCAGACACAAAGCAGAGGTCATTGTGTACAATGTGGGCTGAGCCAGCATGGACCACTCAGGTGCCACCTGCTGTATGCCACATATCCTGGGACCCTGTGATGTCACTCTGGCAACTTGAAATGGGCCAGGGCTGGAGCATCAATACCAGCGAAATTGGCAGTTGCTACATGATCTCCAAGGGCCGGCTGTTAAACGTTCGCAGGCACTGGGCCCAGACTGCTGGCCAGTGCTCCTGTGAAAGCCTCTTTAACCATGTGGGCTTTGTGCACAGCCTTCAGCGTAAGTGCATACACCAAGAACCCCCAATCCTGAACTCTCACGGGGCTCACTCTCCAGAGGCACAGGACAATCACAGCACCTAGACAGCTGGATCAACAACTGCTGGCCAGACGCCTCCTGCCTGAGGGCTGCCTCGTTTTTGTTTTTGTTTTTCTTCCACAAATTCCTCACATTAAAGGCTGCCTCATTTATTTTAAAGCATCAGTTACTACTACTACTACACGGTGATGCAGAGCAGAGGCAAAGCATGAAGGACCCTCTCACCCTCATGGTAATCCCACTCTGGAGGGAGAGAATGCCACTCTGAGGCAGGAAAAATGCAAGCTCAAGTCCAGCCTGGGCAATTTAGTAAGACTTTGTCTTAAAAGAAAGAGAAAAGGAATAGGGACACAGCTCAGCGTGAAGCCCTGGGTTTAATCTCTAGGGCCCTCCTCTGCCAAAAAATTAAATTTTAGAGTCATCAAAAAGTTAAGTCAAGGGCTAGGCCACAGTTTCCTGGCAAGCATGAGGCTGTGAGTTTGATCCACGGTACCAAAAAAAAAAAAAAAGAGTTAAGTCAGATCTGAAACCCAGCAGGGAAAGATCAAAAAACTGGATCTGTACTCTGTCATGTGGCACCATGTTCCCTGAAGGTGGGGAAAAGTGTGACAAGACAAGGGACAGCTTAGCTTTGAATGATCCTGCAACTTAACAAGACCCAAGCCCAGTATTGCCCATTCCTGCTCCTGTTTCACATAGGAATAAACAAGAACTGATGGGGACCAGGGAGCCTACGAGACAGGAGTGTGTTGAGGCTTCCTCAGCCTTTCCCAGTCTCCAGAGGTCTGGTGCTGGAGAAGTAAGCCACACCCAGGGCACAAAGCAGCAGGGTTTGAGAATGGACATGCAGTTCCCCTCCTCAGCCCTCGACCTAAAGCTCCCAGTGTTGCCCACACCCATACCTCCTGCCGGACATGAGAAGTGCCACTGTGGCCTGTGCTGGAGGTACACGTGGATGAGGGGCAGGAAGTTGTCCAGCTCCTTCTGCAGCCTGTGCCCTGCACCAGCCCGGCTGCACCACTGCTCAAACCATAGCACGTGAGTACAACTCTGCTGGAGGAGCAGGGTGGCGATGCCCACGGCTGCCGGCGTCTGCCAGGCCAGGCAGTAGTCGAGCAGATCAGCCGCAACCACGGGGGCCAGCACGGGGTCTCTCTGCAGGGTGTGGAGGAACACCGTGTCCAGTTCATCCACAGCCAACATGGGGAGCAGAGTGCCCAGGCCACGCACATACTCGGAGGACCAGAGAAGCTCGCCACTCTGTAGCCGGTCCTGGGGGCTGCAGGCCAGCAGCTGCACCAGGGTCTTCCCAAGGATGCTTAACTGTCTCTCTCTCTCAGGGGCCTCAGCGGATGGCTGAGTCTGCAGGTGGGCCTCCGGCAGGGCCAGCAGAGCCAGCGTGAGCTCTCGGAGCTGGGCACCTTCCATGTATGGGTGTAGCTCCCGCAGGGCCTCCAGCTGTAGCAGGCTCTTGGCTGGAGAAGCAGCTCGGCCTGTGCTTCTGGCTCGCAGCTCCCTCAACACACTCTGCGTGATGGCCTCCAAGTACCTGGCCAGAAGGCCCAGCTGCCCCATATTTCGGAGGATGGGGGCGCAGGCCACCAGCAGCTGAAGGACGCCTGCACTGAACTGAGCAGCCAAGAGCTTCACAAGAACGGGGCTGAGCGTATGTGGGGGCAGGGCTTGTTGTTCCAGGGCCAGAAACCAGCCTTCCAGCGTTGGGTGTCTCAGGATGGCCACCAGCACCTCCTCCAGCGTCTGAAAGATGGATGGTGACAGACATCACGAGAGGCAGGGGGCCAGGGAGACGCTGCAGCTACCAGTACGCATTTGCTGTTGTCAGTGAGACAGAGCAGGAGACGGCTCTCCTAACCTACCCCATGACAACAATGTACAATGGCCACACTGTGTGTCACTTCTCCTGTGCAACTGCAGAGGCTACACCGGGTGTGATCAGCACCACTCAGTCACAAGCATGTGCTCGATGAATTCAGCTAGAACAGAATTACTGTGTGGCAAACTGCTCTCCCACACAACATGGAGGGAACAAAGGCAAGGGCCACCCAGACACAGCAAAATGCGATTAAGACTGGCCATCTACTCTCCCTTGTCCATCTGGTTGAGGAGCAACAGGGTCAGGGTCATAGCTTAGACCACATGTCTGAAAAAGGTGACAGGAATTAAACTGCTGTGAACAGCCACATTCTTGAACTCTTGTCTCCACATTCAGAGAAGCACGGGGCCTCAAGAGACTCTAAGAGACTAGTTTTGGTTCAGCCACCTGGCTAGAACGTGCTGAGCATTGCTGGATGACCAGAGAGTAACTGGAATTGGTCATCCTCCACAACTTTGCTGAGCATGGGTCCTAGCCAAGAAGTCCCCTTAGTCCCTAGGGACAGGAATGAGTTTTCTTATTTCACTTAACTTGAAAGGCAGGAGCCCAGTAGCCTGCCCAGCAGAGCCCTGCCAGTCAGAAACAGAGAAACACACTGTCAGGACTGCTCTGCCTGTCACGTGGCTGGCCCAGCCAGCACACGGACCACCAGGAAGTCAATGGGAGACTGAAGGCAGAACGACGGCTGTCTCAAAAAGGGTGGGATACGGTACACACTTGTTGCCTGAACCCAGGAGGAGTCACAGGGCACACTGACAGAAATATGCACCTGACCCAGGGAGATGACCTGCTGTACAAGACTAGCAGAGAAAGGCTTTCTCCATGCAAGGGAATTGGCAACAGCCTCCCACGGCCCACCCTGAGTCAGCCCAGGCTGAGCTTCTGGAGAGGAAACAGATACACTGGCTTCCTGAGGCTCCTGGCACATGGTGTGGGGGAGTGGCCTGGAGGGGCCAGCAACTTGGAAGAGCAACTGGAACAATGAACACCTAGGCTGAGTCCTGCATGGCCAGGGTGGGTGTGGGGTGTGTCTCAGGTGGCTTTCAGAGTTTCTGTATCTTTATAGTGAAAGTATATTTCTGATTAAAAATACACTTGTCTTCCAAAAAAGGCGAATGGGCTGTCTATGGCAGGGGGCAGAGGTACCTGGTCATTGGCCAACTCCAGCGAGGCAACAGACTTCATGTCTAAAAAGAGTTCAGATTCAGCATGGGCAGCCTTGCACTTCTGCTGATTCTGGGTATCCAGCTGCTCACAGTGGACAACCAAGTGTCTGAGGAGATTCAGGAAGAGATGCAGGAGGGGAGGCCCTGCATTTCTGCCCAGCTGTGAGGATGAAAGCAGCAAGGTGTCATGACTGCAGAGAGAGAAGGGCTGACAGGCACAAGAACAGTAACTATTATGCCCTCGGGCAACCAAAGAGGAGATATGCGGGGCAAGTGGAGAGGGCAACTCTTTCATATGCTGTTTGTGAATACTCGTCAGCTGGAGTCATCTCTCAAGTGAGAGTTGTCTTCCTTACCTGGATGCACTGCATGGGCTTCGGGCCAAAATGAGGGGAACAGGCTAACTTCAAAACCTGCCCTGAAGACCTGAGAACTACTTCGGGGCAGAGCTTACCATGAGTACCAAATGAAGACACTACATTAGGAGGGAGGCCTGGCAGAGCTGCCAATCTAGTCTACTACAGGAGGGGCCCTGCCCTGACAGTGAATGGCCTCATGACAAACTGAGGCGTGTGCAGGTCCCTGTCTGTCATTGCTGAGGGACACACTGGTCTGGAGAGAACAGCACTGCTGCCTCTGCCCATCTGCTCCAGGAGGAATGGTAGAGACCCGAGTCCAGGCTCCTGAGAAGTCCTGTCTCAGCTCAGAAAAGGCTGCTCTGGAGGTAAAGCATAGGCTGAAGCAGCGGTGCTGACCTGGCGGAAGTTCTCCACGGTGCTCCTGAGGTAGAGTAGCACCTGCTTGGTGGCACACAGGGCTTGGCGCAGGGTGAGACACTGGACTGCAGCCTGCAGCTGCTCTTGAATGTGCTTGTCTCTGAGCGTCTGGCTCTCATATGCTGTCTGCAGCACAGCGGAGAAGCAGGAGGCCAAGGCGGGTACATGGGATGTACAGTTGCTGGATGCCTGCAGTGGCTGAGGGAGACGGCAAGACGCAATCACCATGACTGGAAATGCTGCACAGGCTGTAAGAGACCTCAACTGATGTGCACAGCAGTGGTCAGCAATCATGCCTAAGACTAAAAGATGTAGGCTGCACAGCACCTACCTGAAACAGCCCATCTCACCAATTTCCCTTAGCATGCCGCGCTGACAGAACATGACAGGCCTGCGTAGGAGGTGGGACGAGAGCCTGCCTTGGGCCCCAGTGTCAGGGATTAACAGCAGGAGTCAGGGTAGGCACAGGCATGGGGAGCCTGTGTCATGAGCTAGCTGCCTCCCCAGGAGCTTTGCTAGAACGTCTCGTCAGGAGGATGGCAAATGAGGGCCAAATGAAGAGAACTCTCTGGAGCCACTCTGCCTCAAATGAGAGTTGCTAGTTTCTTTTAACATAACTGCAAAAGGTCTTCCTTATTTACCCCATGTGACTTGTACTATCACAACTCCATCCAACTTCTGGAACCTGCTACACTCAAGGCTGTGTGTGCCCTGACCAGGGGTTCTCAAAGCCCACCCCAGAACTACTGGTTCAGAAATGGGGGCTGGGCCCAGTAGATGAGAGCCAATGCTGTGATACACTCAAACGGGGAGGCCAGGCCACCTGAGCACCAGGTGGGCAGCGCTGGATTCCCCGAACCTTAACACTGGCCACTGGCTGGCTGCACCAAGCCCTGCTGGTGACGACAGCTGTTACACGCTGGGGCTCTGCTGCCGGACGTCTGGACTAAGGTCTGGCTCCACCACTGAGTGGTGGGGGAAGCACTCCGTGCCTTGGTTTCCTCATGTGAGTAAAGGCTGGGTAGTTCTGATTTACTTCTCAGAGTTATGAGGATTAAGGGGCTCAAAATACACGAAGTACATTTAGTGTGGGGCCCACTCGACAGAACATGCCACCAGCGCTGCTCCCAATCACAAAGGCCAGTGCTGGCCACCCTATGCCACACGTGCAGCAGTCAGCTGTTGTCACTGAAAGCTCTGCAAGGTCTGCCATCACTGCGAGGCTCTCTGCTTTCTCGAGTAAGGCAGAAATTGAATGGATTCACAAAAATGCCCACAGCAAAGCTCTTTCCCACCCCATAGTTTTGAAAAGTACTCTTAACTGTAGCCCGAAGCCCACTACCAGAATGTAGTCCTCACCAAAAGACAAGTCCTCTGCCCTGTACTGTGTCAGCTTAAGCCAAAGGGAGCCTGCTGGGAGCTGAGCACCTAAGTCTAGGCACATGCCAAGGTCTGAAGGGAGAGCTGTGAGGCAGGCATCATAAACCACTCGAAATGGGAAAAGAAAAAAAACAGGCTTTTGACTGCAGCTGAAAGAGTCACCAGCCAATTTTCAATACAGTGGAAATTTAATTTTGCAGTATCATCGACTCCTCCATGTTTAGCTGAGCAGTGGTAATACAACTTAGCTTCCTCTCCTACACAGTGGAAATCTAAAGATAAGAAAGAGCTCCCTGCAAGCCACAAGGCATTCTGGCCACACATGGCAGGCCAGCTACAGCCCATGGGAGGGAAGTGCTGCAGGAGTGGTTGCGGTTGTGGCTCACCCAGGCCTCTCGGGCTTGCTCCGGGATCCAGAGGCTGTAGTAGCTGTTAAACCGAGACAGCTGCCAGGAGCAAGGCGGGCCAGGAGGCTCAAACTTGTCGTAAGCCTGGAGCAGAAGACACAGAGCCAAGGGGTCCCTCTGGGTGTGGAGGAGGTCGGTCAGCACTGCTGTCAGGTAGACCACGATGCTTTCCCCTGCAGAGGACAGCATGTGTGTGTGTGAAGAAGCCCGCTAGAAATCCCGTCTGTGATCCACCAGCACTGCCTCCTTCCACATGCATGGGAGATGGAGAAATTCACGTCACCTCCACAAAGGGCTGCAGGCCCATGTGGGAAGGCGGGTCCTACCGCACACCATCCTAGGTTCCACGGTACTATACTCATTTTAGTTTACCACGGTACTAGAGATCAAACCCAAGGATACTGTACCACTGAACTGAACCCTCAGCCCTTTTTAGAGACAAGTTCTCATTAGCTTGAAAATTACTCAGGCTGGCCTTGAATTTGCAATCCTCCTATCTCAGCCTCCCAAGCAGCTGAGATTATGTTAGGCTCCATTTATGAAACAGCACACAGTCGGTATCAATGAGACAAGGCATATAAAAGGCAAAGACAAAGCCACCTGGATCCAGATCTTGCTGAGTGTTTGCAAATGCCTCCCTTCTGCCCTGGCACACGAGCTCTCTCTGGCAAAGGCAATAGGACCATATGCCTGGGTTTGTCTCTTCCAGACCATGACATATCCTGCTTGATTGTCCACTCTCTTCCTCTGCCACAGTAGAGGTTGCAAGTGACACAGAAAGATGGCCAGGCAATATGACAGGAGCAGCCTGGAGACCAAGCCACATTCTGAATGACAGCCACCTGGAAGGGCAACCTGGCCTGCACAAGACCATGGCAAAGTCAGAAGGCATCTACCTCCTGTATGTATGTGTCAGACCACGCCAAGTGGGAGCAGAGAGCCTTCGCCCTCCTAGCCACACCACCGCAGCCTGTGAGTGCATCCAGGACTAAGCTGCCTGGAAAATTCAGCAAGTATGAAAGAATCATCCTTAGCATCAACATGTCAAGAACAGACTGAAGAGGTCCAGATGGCCTGACACAGCTGGGACATCCTGACTGTGCACAGGTACCTGCTTCATTCTCTGTCCCAAGGAGCAACTTGTTCCTGGCTTCCAGGGCTGCAGGGACCACAGCACTGAATGGGAACGTGAGCAGGATCATATCTTCATTCAGCAGGAACCCAATCTCCTCGTCCAGGCCTTCGCTCCCCTCCACCAGGACGTCCACCATGTCCAGCACATCTGCCACAGAGGAAGAGTCCAGTCCCACTCTGACAAACGACACCAAAGGACTCGACTGCCATCACCCCCAGGTGAAGGAGGAAGGAGAGAATATTTGCACCAAAGAGAATAAAACAAATCTGAACTTCTCTTGGGGTAAAATGTTTGACACGGTCTGATGCTGAATAGATGAAGGTATCTTTGTAATCTCTGACAAAATGCAGAACATCAGTAGTCTTTCAGCTTTAACCTGGATATGCAGATAAACAAGCTAAGATCTGAGAAGGTGGAAGCACAGCGTCTAGCTTTAAATCTTGACTTTGTTGTGTAGTTATACACAGTAGCTGTGTGAGTTTTTAACCTCTGTGTGCCTTGAACACATGGACAGTAATACCTTCCTCTTTCAGAGCTGTTTATGAGATTTACAAAGTTTACAAATGATTACCTCTGTAAAAAGTTTACAAAACACCTAACACACAACAAATGCTACCAAGTTCGAATAACCCAGAGTAAATTTTATGCACATTTTTTGTAACACAGAGGAACATTCTACAATAGGCTGACCTAGACACAAAGAAATGAGGTGTCTGCATTTTGCCTAAGGCATCAGTGTCACTCCTGTTCCCTGTGTCTAACTTGCTAAGTGGCAGCACAGAAAGGAGTGGAGCCTACCGTCGATGTGAGAGATGGGAATGCTGGTGTCATCCGTGTCTTGCCTGCTCATGGTGGCCTGCAGAGTGCTGGCTTCTTGGACAAAGTCAGATGCCTTGTCTGTGTACGTATAGGGATTCGCCACCAGTGTCAGTAAAACCTGGACATCCGATAGTCAAGTGGAAAACATTTACATGGTTACAAGTGAAATGAAAAGGGACAGGTCACTGGTCACTGTCAAGGGAAGTACTAAAATGTTAGCTATCCTTAATAACAGTAATATTACTGCAAAGATATCTTCCTCTTTAACTTTTTGTTGCACAATTTAAAAAATTATTTCCTTTTAGTAGACTACTGCTTTTAACACAGCTTTTAATGTATCCCACTCCATCGTGCAAAAACAAATTCCCAAAAGAAAATTAAAAAGCATGCAGCAACATATTCCTATGGTTTGGATTCTAATGCTAAGTGGATTCTGGAATTGCAGCAGGATTAGGAAGTAAGCCAGGGCAAAAGCCCCTCTGGCATCGCTGCGTCAAAAACGCCTTAATGACATGCAGAGCCACTGCGTGTAATCATCCTTGGACATGCTGCTTTACATGGAAATCTGTGCTTACACGTTCCAGGAACTGAATCACCGTCTCTCTGCTGCCTTCTGAAGTGTTATCCAGGTGCTCCAACCAGAGCTCCAGTTCCTTCCAGGTATACTCAAACACACCCGTGTCCCGCAGAATCTGCAGTGAGCAGACGCAGTGCAAAGGTCAGCACCGAACCTGCTTTCTGTGGAAACTGCAGCGGCTTCACGTTGCACCAGCCACTTGCAGCTTTAAACACAATGCAACTCTTTGTCTAGCTGCTGCTGATTCCTTTTCCAGAGGGCTGGCTTTCAATGTGGATTTTCACAAAGAATGTGCACAGCCTCACTCTGCTCAGCCACTCAACCTCCAGGTTGTAGGAAGTTCTCCAAGGTCAGGAGCCACCTTGAGGGCAAGCAGCACCCTATTTCTACCAGAACAAACTTGGTATTAGGCAGGCTCTGATCTATAGTGCTGAGTAACAGTGACATTCCCTAATGGCCTGATGACTGACACTTAGGGCATCAGTGGCCTCATGGCACAGAGCCCTGCAACAGTGTATTCCAAAGAAGCACTCTGCCATGTCCATTCCATCTATTTGTGCTTGGCTGTCACGACAACGTGTGGCTGGCACCAGGTTCCGCCCACACTCCTGTAAGGAAAGGCAGCCTGGAGGCAAACGCTCACCCCCTCATGGTCTCACATTGAGATCGCCTGCCCTTCATCTGGGCGAAGGGTCAAGTGCTCACACCCAAGAAACAGTGAATGTGATTTCGGTAGCACCCCATACTCCAAATGTTGACTGTACAACAGAAAAGAAAAATGAATTGCCCACAGCCAGACCTGCTGCAGCTCTGGAAAGGTGAGAACCGAGTTAAGGAAGAGGTGAACAAAGTCCCATTCTCCCTGAACTGACCTTGACCCCACCTGTGCTGGGGGATGGACGTGGTGAAAAAGGCTGAACACCCCAGAGTGTGGCTCAGAGGAAAGATGCACAGCCATTCGCTGGATCAAGGGGGCAGAATGCACTATTCACTGTGCCTTGGTGGACCAAGCATGAGCCGCCTCTTTATTACATCCAGCCTCCTCTGCCACCCTGCGGTCTTGTCACCTCCACTCTCCATGGGAAAATTAAGTCAGGAGAGACCAGTCATTTGTCCTAAGCCACCCAGAAGAGAGAAGAACCAGGATTTAAATCCAAGAATTAGATTTGAAAGCTGATGTTTTTAGCCACTTCATGGTGTAATCTAATTTTTTTTTTTCTTGGTCTTTTCCTTTTTACCGGTACCAGGGATCAAACTCATGACTACCTGCTTACAAGGCAGGTGCTTATGCCGCTGAGCTAAATCCCCAGCCCCAATCTGTCTAAATTTAAGACACACTAAAAATTACTATAAAACCTTCTGATTATAATTTGCAATACTACTGATGCAGCCTGAATTCAATAAGCATTTACAAAGTTCCTTGTGTTAGGAAAACCTGTGCAAATGCCTTTTAGAATCGATTCAGAGGAAATGCTCACCTTCATGATCAGAAGTTTGGTGGACGACTTGAGCTGTAAATGGCTACTGGTCACAAACATTTTCATCAGTAAGTAGAACACAGATCTTTCTCCTCCAATAATTTCTGCATCTGGGCCTTCCTAGAGTGTGAATGTTATTACATATTTTTAATATAAAATTATTTGTAATTATTTATATATGTATAATTTCAGTAACATATTATAAAAAAATAACGAAAGCCATGACTTGCTGAGCAGACAGGTGACAACAAGCCCAATACACTGCCAGGTCCTCACCTCATTTCTTAACGACATTCAGTGGAAAAACTATATGTGCACACACAAGGAGTGGCAGAAATCAGGCCACTCAAAAGCCCCCAACCTTGCTGTAGTTATACGACAGCCAGTTCCAGCAGTAAGCACAGGCAGCCCTCTTCATGTGTCCAGTCCAGCACCTGCTAAGTCCTCAAGATGAGCTATCCTCAACTCTGATGCAGGGAATCTTAGACAAAGGATTCAGAGGTAACACACACAGACTCCAGGACCATCGCTTGCTTAGACCTTTCTAGAAGTATCACATGTAAAAAGGTCAACTTCCATTCCCACATTCTGGATTCTATATGAGAATAAGACCTAATTTCTTAAAAAAACATACTCTGAGAAATGAGAAGCACACCCAGTCAAGGCATACTTGTTTGATCATTTTCCCTCATGGTACAAGAGTGACACAGCACTGGGGCATGGCATAAGGACACAGGCAAAGATCTGCTACATGCTGACTTCCTACAAGGGCAACATGTTCTCTAAAGAGTCCAAGAGGATGCTGTTGTAGACACACATAGGGCTAGCAATGTCAGCTAACCTTCCACCAGACATAGCCCTCTGCTGGCTTGGAGTTTATTTCCACCTCTGTCTGAGGCTCTTCCAGGATAAGGACAAACAAGAAAGAGTATTTTATTTTCACAAACATCTTAAAATACAAGAAGAATATAAGAGTCAAGATAAAAAGCCAACAATCCCAGCAGGTTAGCTAGCGGCAGAAGACTGGAGCTCTCTGCTTTGTACCTGTGCCTTCAACCACAAGAACTTGTTGGCAGGCAGCTCCAGGGCCACCTTCAGCATGTGGTGCTGCAGGATGGGAGGGGCCTCCTGGCCAAGGCTCTGCTCAGAGATGATGCCTGCAGACACAAGGGAGGCAAACTGACAAAGTCACCCAGGAGTGGGTGCCCAGCAAATACTGCCTGACCAAAGGGCCAGAGACAGAAACCCACATCTAGAAAGCTAAAAGGATATGGGTCTGTTGCCTGACCTGGTTGCCTCAACCAGGCTGTGCAAGCCTGTCTCTCTCGACACCCTGTCCCACCCCAGGGCCATCCAGATCCTTCGCTGCCAAAGCAGGCTCCTCATCACCTGACCCATGCTAAGCTCATGCTACCACAGACATTGCCATACCACGCTGCCTGCCTCCAAGTGTGGTCCCTCATGGATACAGTCTCTTGTGTGGGACACAGACCTTGATGTCCACATGCAAATGTTCTGTGGACAAGTAATTCTGGCCACTGACTGGTCAGACTGGGTCCCTGTCTTCTAACTCAGTGTCTAGGTGTCTCCTTTGTGCAAGAGGATACATCAGTAAGTCCCAAATGGCCACAATCTAGTACATTTCATACCCCCATGGCAAAGATAACCTTGCACATTCAAACAATTAAAATTACAGCTCTTGAAAGGGATTATCTCTGTAGCTTATATAAATTCCAAGAATGGTATTTTTGTAAGTCTTCTTCTATAGGACTGATTATAAAGTCCATTTTTATGAAGTAAACCTGACCATCAAGGATCCATGACCAGGGAAGCTTAATGTTACTTTTATGAGATGTGGTTTGAGTCGGACTCATTGGAAAAAAATACGATGGGATGCATGCACCTCTGCACGATGGGATGGGATGTCCCTTCCATGGAACTCTCCTGCCTCAATCTCTGCACCTGTTCCCTGAGAAGACAGCTTTAGAGTACACATGCATGATCCAATCTGTAGACTGTCCATGGCAGGTCATTGGGGCTGACTGGCTTCCACTTTCCCCACTCTTAGGGCTTATGCTCAGTGCTCACCTGAACTCACTTAGAGAAGGCCAGCAACTAAAAAGTACAGGTCCAATAAAATTATAAGATCACAATTACCCCAGCAAGGTAACCACAGCCTCGCGGTCCCTCAGCACCTAAGTGTTCATCTGCCACCTTGAGACTCACCTTTCAGGAGCTTGCTGAAGTCAAAGTTGTACTGCATGACCACATGGGGGACTGCTTTCTGGTAGAGGCATATGACCTGGAGCAAAACGGCTCTCAGAAGAATAGTTTCTGCATCATCTGCAACGAAGAAAATAGTTTCAATTGGGAAACAATTTGTTTTGGGATCTTGCTCGAGGAAACAGCCAAGCCACACTGCACTCAACCGAATGCTGCACAGTGAAGCTACAGGCAGTAACTAGATGTAAAAACTCACATAGTGCTGTCCAAGAGCCCAGCTTCTGGCCCACTTGGCTGTGATGGTCTTGGACAGGTTGAGGCTACTCTGTCTTTTCTTTTTTGGGGGGGTACCAGGGATTGAACTCACGACCTCCCATTTGCTAAGCAGGCACTTATGCCTCTGAACTAAACCCCCAGCCCTCATCTCTGTGTTTTCAAGTCCTCATCTGAGCAAGGGGATTTTCTCGTAGGGTTGCCAGAAGGCTTAGAGGGTCTAGATTCAGGCTACAAAGCCCACTACCTGGCCAACGACAAGATCTAAGTCAATGCTTTTTAATATGAAAGGCACTGAATAGCCCACATCTATCACAGAGCAAGAAAGAGTTTCCCACCCTGTCACCTATTTAAAGGACAGAGCAAAAAATAAAAACAAAAATAAAAAATAAAGGACGGAGCAGACAGAACCCAGCACTCAAGTCTGCAGAGAGACACAGCACTTGCATAAAGCCTGGGTACATTTCTAGTGGATGTTTAAGTTCAATCTACAATTCTCCTTCTTCCCCCAAGGAGAAAAGAATGTGGGGTACAGCCGTGGACCCTCTGGCTAGGAGCCACTGCACGTTCCCTGTCTGCTCCATCCCTGTGAAATACCAGAGGCCCAAGCCCTCACCACACTGGAGAGCCCTGCAGGCAGCTGGAGTCCCGTCACCTCTCTTCTTTCCTTTCTCATCATCTTCTTTCATCTCTTGCTTTTTAAGTGACTGCCAGACCCACACAACAGTATTCAGATCTGGCAAAACCTAAAGGGAAAAAAGAAGCAAAAAAAAAAAAAAAAAATCAGTTGTATTAAACAACAAAGAGAAATGAATGAATTGAACACAGTAAGAGGAAGCGAAACCCAGAGTGGGAGGCACAGATATGTGAGCGTGCACGAGTGTGAATTACATGAGCACTGAGTGTGCAGGACACGAAACAAAAGGGTATAGAGAGAATAGGCACACATTCACTGTAAGCTCTGTTCTGCATGCCAAAGACTGGGTAAACAGGTCCGACGGTAACATCAAAGCCCTGAAGACTTCTTCCCCTGAGTCAAAGTAACACCTCCACAGGGCCAGCATGGAGAACCTGCCTTACGTGGTCCGGGCATAATCAGCCTCCAAAGAAAAGGGGGAGCTCTGAGAAAGCGGGTCTCCCAGGTCACCCAGCCCCTTCACTTGGACCACAGCACAGTCAGTGCCATGTTCCAGAGGAAGACAGGAGATCTCACCAAGTCAGAACTCTGCCAGTCCCCAGTGGACAGCAGGTACCCTGTCTCATTTCTTAGCTTGCTCAAAGACTTTGGGACTGCACTCCAAGCGTGACACTTGTGTGGCAGTTTTACTGCTGATCTTCAGTGCCATGCCACAACTGCCTGCTGGCCTCTCCAACATGGTGGCACTTGGGTCCCACCCATGCTCTCCCAAGAAGGCCCCTTCTCCCTACTGTGCTTGGGGGCAGGGAAAGCCCACCTTGCTCAGTGCCTCTCGGAAGAGCTGCACAAATTCTTCCATCACCGACGCTGTGTACACGCCTGATTCTTGCCAGGATTCTTTATTTAAGCAGTGGTCAACAGTTTTCAATGCTCTCTTCAAAATGAAGGAAATGAGGGACAGAGCTGTGTGTCTCACCGACGTGCTGTCCAGCTGGGAAGAACAGTTAAATCCACAAATGTATGTAGGCAGACAGAGGTCTCAAGCTCTGCACTGGTTCTTGCTCCATCTCTAGCCATGCTGGATTCTACAGTGTGACAAGAACTGACCCCAGGGACTTTGCCCACCTAGATGTCCTCCATGTCTGAGCTCAGCTGCTGCCAGAAAAGCAGTTAGGAAAGATGGAGTCTGCCAGTGGTTTCCTTTTCCACAGCCTTCTCTGACAACCAGCCACACCACTAACATGGATCATTTGGATTAACAGGAGCAAGAGCTCTGTTAATCACCACAACTCACCCCTAAACACAGGCACGCCACCTTTAACACTCAGCGTTGGGTGAAGAGACAGCAAGAAAACATAGCAGGTCCCTCAGTACAGAGAGCTCCCCCAGGTCAGTAAGCAACAGCTGCATTTTGTGTGGCCCATCTCCCCAGGTTTCCTGTGACAGCAACTTAGCCCCAGTGTGGCGGTTCTACAAAGAAGTGGAATCTGTAGGAGAGGCGGCTGAGCAGGAGGTGCCTAGAGCACAGGGTGGGCCATCCTCAGGAGGGATTCATGTAGTTCTCAGGGGACTCTGCTAGCTCTTAGCAGAGAGGTAGATGTAAAGGGAACGTGACTGGCCCTTCCCTGGCCTGTGGCTTCCTAAATCACTACGTGGTCTCCTGTGTGCTAAGCTATGTCCTTTTCTGCCCATCCACCATGTTGTGCCATCCTCAGAGAGGATGAGGCTGCCCAGTCTTGGACTTCCAGGTTCCAAAACTGTTAGCCAAATAAAACTCTCTTCATACATACCCAGCTTTGGGCATTTTGTCACAGTAACAGAAAATGAACTAATAGAAGAAGCAACTCAGCCAGGTGTGGTGGCACACACCTATAACTTGGGAGGTTGAGGCAGGAGTATCATAGTGAGTTTGAGACCAACCTGGGTTACAGAGTGAGTTCTAGACCAGCCTGAACTTCATAGTAAGGCCCTGTCTCAAAAAAAAAAAAAAAAAAAAAAAAAAAGAGAGAGAGAGAAAGAAAAGAAAAGAAAGAAGCAACTCATCACAGGCCTGGGACATACATACTTCCCTCCTATTTAGGTAAATGCTAGGATGGTCTTCCAAGTCCTCACTGACTACAGACTGAGTAAGGTTCAAGACTCTGCACTAGGAACAAACTAGGGAAGAGCTCAGGCCATGGCCAGAGGCAATTCATTCCTGGACTATCAGCAGTGCCAGAGTACAGGGAAGAAATGCAGAGTCCCAGGTCCTTGTTTAGAAGCAGAGTGTGCATCTTCACACGACCCCCAGGCAAGCCCACAAGGCTAAATCCCGGGGCACCCTGGCTGTGGCACTGGGCATTTACAGTGAGGGGGAAACAAACAGGACTCTGGCTCTGGTTTCATAGTCATGACAGCCCAGTGCCCAGCATTCCAGCTGGCTGCTATTTTACTTCATGGGGATGCCGGGTACCTAAGCAGAACACAGGAAATGCTTAGGCCAACAACGGCTCTAACACATAATGCTTTCAAAAGCAGGCCCCCAACAAAAGTTCATGTGACACCAGTGGGCTGCGAGCACAGGAGCGCCATGACCTGCTTCTAAATCCTGCTAACATCTCATTTCTAAAATAAACTGGCTCTTTTTCTGATTTAAAACATGTGATGTTACAAGTTCTTCAATCAACACTATAAGGAACAAAAGAAAAAAACCCCTCATAATTGCAGCCTCTAGAATTTCTCCCCCACTGATCCCATGAATATGAAAACAGTCTCGGCTCTCCACAAGGGCATGTGGGGACAGCGGACTAGGCTGTGGCTGGACGGCTCCTGGCCTGCAAAGGACAGCAGCCACAGAGGGGAAGGAGCCAGGCCTGTCTCATCCAAGCTACTCTGTCCAGAAGATGGACTGTCCTTCCAGGAGAGTGCACAGACCACACTGAGACAGGAGAGAGGCCAGCCTTTCATCTCTCATACCGCCAGCCTAAGGAGCAAGTAAGCGTAGCCTTCAAAGGAGGCGCAGCTGACGTATTCCTTTCAACTCCTTTCTGCAGGCCTCCTGGGAAATACGAATGTCTCCCACAAAACAGATGGGTAGTTAGCTGCGTCCTAATTTTGCGTATGATGATCTGGCAAACAGAACAAAAGATCTTTCTGCCGAGTCCCACACAGGCCTCTTCTTTTCTCTTCCTCACTCACCGCCCAGCCTCAGCACAAACCCTGGACAGGTATCAAAGAATTCCACTGCAGTCTCAGGAGTTGATACCACCTTAGTGACTGCACCCATCACCACAGGACCAACTCATGTCTACGCCACACACCACGTAGACCCTGTCCTACCTATGTCACATAACCCAGCCTGTCCGGAGGTTGAGACACCTCTCTGAAAGCCTCATCTTCCTGGGAAAGTGGCAGGCTACTGGGCTTAAAGGGGCTGGCAGGCCCAGAACCCAGGTGGGCTATGCGCCCACAGCCAGTCGCCTGAGCCCACAATGCCAAGGTAAAAGATGAAAACCCCTCAATGCTTGGCTTCTGATAGGACCTGGGACCATATAAATAAATTAAAATTAAAGTCTCTCAATTCTTTTCCATGAATATGTTCTCCAAAAATGGATGCAAACAACTAGTTCCCAAAGTAAATAGTCCCCAGAAATCTTAAAACCATTCATCTGGACAAAAAATAAAGGAAATCCTTTATTAGCCTTGTGGTCCAAAGGCTACGTCCAGCCACAGCCACAGCCACAGCTGGGAATGTACCTAATGGCAGATCTGCCTAACATGTGCCATACTTCACATTCAATCACAAGCACAATTAAGAAGAACGATTTTTTGATAATTTTCAATCTACCCTGTCCAGAAATTCTAAGTATTTTACTAAAAGGATTTCCCTTCTTCTGACTCTAACATACTTCCATTCCTCCCAATCAGGAGTAAAGAGGCATGGAGAGATCAAGCTATCCCTGCCACACACTAGAGTGGACAAGGTGTGACACCACTTGTCCCCAGAGGGAATTGGCTCCTACTCAAGGTCTTTGGCCCAAGTGAGGGCATCTGTCACTTTCTTGGGAGCCTCAGAGATTCCCTGACAAAGCAATCCAACACCGCCAGGCCGAAACTCTCAGCCTGAGGGTTCCACAGAAGTTCCAGAAGTAGGGCCACCATGACCTTACATTTAATGCTTGAGTGAACATGATCTTATTGCACACCAGGGGCACCGTGGTCACCATCACCATCGCCAGGAGTCGTGGCAAAGGGATAAATTCTTTGGTCTGAAATGCCTGGGAAATCTCTGGTTGGGCCTCATAGATCTAGGAAAAGGAGAAAAGCCGTTTAGTTGGTGTTAGAAACAGATATGCAACAGTGAAGCCATTCCAATTAAATAATTCTATAATGGTAAGAGTCATTCACTGCAGGGACAAGATCAGACTTGTTAAAGATAAGTCAGGTTGCTGGTTTGGCCACCATCAGAATAGTGACCTCCAATGTACAACTTAGCCTAGACAAATCACTGCCAGAACTGTGCTAGAAAAAAGGGTATCACTCACCCACAACACCTACACTTGACAAAATCTACCATCTTTTTGAAGTAAAATGCTACTCTGGGGTAGGAACACTTGATTATTTAAAAATAGTTTGTGGAGGGCAAGTCTGGACCTCAGTGAGGTTAAGTTACTTCCTTTGGACCACAAGGCTAATGAGCAGCCAAGTAAGGACCACAGCTGAGTTGCAAATACCACACATTTGCCCCTCCCCAGAATTGGGGAGGACAGCTCCAGAGCCACTCCCCTAAGGGTGCTGGTCATAGGGCCCTCCAAGCAAGGGGCAGGGCATCCTTCTTTCTCAAGTGGAGATCAGCTGGGGCCTGCACATGTAGGCACTTGAGAATCCTGAGAATATGTGGATAAAAGCTAATTTTACCAATCATGCCACGCCAAGACTGAGGCACAAGGAAACAATCCTAGGCATTTCACATGCACGCTTGGCAGGCCATAAATCAGAGGGAGAAAAAGCTTAATTGAGCCAAACACTACTGCCAAAGAATTTATAGTAACTATAGGCTGAGCATCCCCAATCCCAAAATCTGCAACTTAAAGCTTTTTGAGTACCAAAAGGATATGATACTCATTAAATTTCATACGTGAAGTGTTCTTGGACTTCAGATTATGCATTTTTGGATTAGAAAGGCTCACCCAATAAAACCTATGCAAGTATCAAAAAAACCTACACAAATATTCTAAAACCTAAAAGCCCCTGAAACTGAACCTGAAACCCTTTGTCCCAGTCTCAAGTATTTTGAGTAAGAATTTAAACCTGCACCTCCATAGGTAGATAAGGGAAATGTTGAAGTCTAAGGCTGAAAGGAAATGAAAACACATCTACTTAAGCAAACAGACCCATCGTAATATATCACAGCTTATGTCACCATGTTCTAAGGATACAAAGCCAATCTTTAAAAAGCATCCTACAATTCAAACATTTCAATCAGTCCAAAATATGTGGAAGGAATAAAACTCTTAAAGTCCAGCTCAGTGAGTCCACTTAGAGAACAAGGTCAGGCACAGTATGTCGCCTGCGCTACCCTTTGTCACAGATGCTCCTGAAGCACAGCGCCGGCCCTTCCTCACCCCTTCCACTCCCCTTGCACTCTAGGTACGGCTTCTGTGTTTTGTACCTTGGTAAGGAGTTTGATATTGTTTAACCAAGCGGACTTCACTCTTGGAAGAAAGGAAAACGTCACTTCCTTGAAGTACTTGCTCAGCAGGTCTGGGCACACTTTTAGGATATTCACCACCAGTTCAGCCACCAGCTCATCATTAGCTGCGGTTTTCAAACCCAACAAGAAGTGCAAGAGTGTCAGGTTGCCTCCTCTGGTGGGGACAGAGACAAGAGGGAGGTGTTAGTGGGGAAAATTCAAGCTAGCAGAGGCCTAGAGTTTCTCTCAGGGACAGTGGTGAAGTGGCTACGGGGAAATTTCCTCCAGGACACAACGTGAGGTATTTCCGCAGCTGTGGGGTCTTGAACTCTATCAGAGCACTTTGCTTTCTATCCCCTACTTCTAAGGGGCTGAAAAGGTCTCCATTTTGTGCCGTGTCTCCCTCTGCTTTGTTTCTTCCCTCCCTGGAATTCAACCTGACTTAAAGAACAGGAAGAAAGCTATCCTCTCTAACCTCCACAGCCACCTCGTCTCCCCGTATTTTTTATTTTGAGACAGGGTCTCCCTAAGTTGCTAAATGGCCCAGGCTGGGCTTGAATTTTCAATCCTCCTGCTTCACAGCCCCAGGATATACACACAAATTATTTGAATCAATAAAATGAATAGCACGGATACTGATGTACTGGGCAACACAGGCCTGCTGCTCCTGGCAGTGACCTCATCCCTCCTCTCTGAGGCAGGCACCTATTTTACAGGCAGACAGAAGGTGGAAACCTGCTAAGCTCTCAGGGCGAAGTTACAACTGGAGTCCAGTTGTGTGAGTTTGAGAACCTGCTCTCTTAATCTATACCAGGGAATGCCACACCATGGCCTGCCACTTAGGTTTGTAAATACATATAATTGGAACACAGTCACAGCCGATGTCTATGTCTACAGACACTTCTACGTGCTCATGGATAGATGGCCCACCTGCTTAAAACCATTTCCGCTCCTTTATAGAAAAGTTTGCTTCATTCTGTCCTCTAACACCTTATGTTCAGTAAGTACCTTCTAGGTGGCAGGCACCCTCCTAGACCCTTAGAAGACAAAATTGGTCACTCTTTTTTTACTACTTTCCACCAAATCAGATCATGCAAAAATAAACAAACAAATAAATAAAAATAACATTTATGCAAGGTGGTCAGAAGCCTGAACTGTGCAAAAGGGACACTGAGAGTGCAGGGCGTATTTTAGGAGGGCTGTCTCAAGTGGTGACACCTGCTCAGGGACTTGAATGAAATGCAGCGGGCCACATGACTCATGGGAAGCCACACGTTTCAGCTTTCTCAAAACTTCTCATTACTGTCTACAAACACAACTCCTTTCCTTTTCCCTGCGCACAAACATTTGTTTCTTGCTATAGTTTCAAATATTCACGAAAAACCACAGTTCATGCCAAACAGACCTACACCCCTAAATTAATGTGATATGCTCATTAAGTAATCATCCATTTCACAGACCTAGTTAAGGAAAGAAAAGATTGCTTTTAAAAAGGGGAAATTATGTGTGTTTTACACATGGCTATTAGAATGTAATGATTACAAAAGTCCGATGGAACTTTTTTTTTCCTTTTTGAGACAGGGTCTCCCAATGCAGTTCAGGCTGGCCTTGTGCTCACTTTGTAGCCCAGGTTGGTCTTGAACTCTCAATGATCCTCCTGCCTCAGCTTCCTGAGAGCTAGGATTATAGGTGTTTACTAGATAGAACAACCTTAGCAAGAAAATGAGTTTGTTCTTACTGATGAGCAAAAGGCTACACTAAGTGTGAATCAGAATAGTCTCAGAATCTGAATAAATTCGAAGTCACATGCAAACCAGGTGTGGCAGTATACGCCTGTAATCCCAGCACTGTGGCAGTCTGAGATAGAAGGATCATAAATTTAAACCCAATCTGGGGAATTCAGTGAGACCCTGACTCACAAACAAAAACGTAACCCCTGGGGGGATAAAAACACCACCGCCAACAAAAGATCATACCGAGGCAGCATTTCCACATTAACCCATTCTGAAGGGATCAGCATTTCTTGAATGCCTGAAGCTAGAAATCAAACTATCTAAATCCTTGCAATAAAACACCATACTGAGCTCTGTGTGGTGGCTCATGCCTGTAATCCCAGCACTCCAGAGCCTGGAGGCTGAGGCAGGAGGATTGCAGCTATGCATCACTACATCTAGCAAAAAATACAATTTATAGTCCTGTCATTGAGAGTACGTTACTATCAGCTTTGGAACTGTATTTCCTAGATTCAAATGTAAACCCTGTCTTGATTGCTCTGAGATCATCATCTTCCTCTAAAACTGAGCAACAGGGATGCTCACCTCAGACCACTTTGCAGGCCAAGCCAGGGCCTGGGAAGGTGACATAGGGACTCCTTCTCAGGCCTAACTGATGCCAGCTTTTTTCAGCAGACACAGGCAGAGACTCCCCAGGGGAGACATACCATAGTCTACGGATCTTTGCTACCCAAGGCCTTTGCCGCTGAAGAGTTGGAATGGACACAGGGGGTGTCCAACTGCTCACCTCTAAGGTGAATTCTAACCTAGAAGTCTATTGTATAGCTGGTTTCCACTGGACAGTCAGTATATGATGACTTGAGAACACACACACTTGGATTAACAAGAGTTGTAGTTTACCTGCCAAAAGTACCCAAAGACGCATCATAAAAATTAATCCCATGCTTGAACGAACAACAAAGATCAGTCAGGAAGTTATGAACGAGCTCCCTCACCATGGCTTTCCCTGCTTCTTCAGCAGACACCTATGTGGGTTGGAAAGTAATTCAGTGAATACCAAGTTCATAAACCTTAGTAACAGCTACAGCATAAAAATGGGACAGTATCACCCACCTAGTGACAACTCAGAAAATACTTTAAATCAAACACTTGGAATTATTCCAAAAACAAAATCACCACCCCAAACTGACACATGCATCAAGATAAAAGAATACTGTTAAGAGAGGCAAGTTTAAACCTTTATTTTTAAAAGTTTTGAAATGACTTCATTTGTCCTGCTCTTTTGAATGAAACTGCATGTTTGAGAGTGTTTTTATTACACACACAGGCTTCCTATTGAAAAGCGCACAGAAATACGTTTGAAATGAGAGGACCTGGGCAACCCACTAAGATAAAAGGGAGGAAAACAGCAGGCTCTGGAGAAGCGAGCTTCTCAGAAGTTAGCAGAAAGGCTGCGCCTGCGCTGGGTGGTTCAAAGCCCCGCGCCCACGCCAGGTTGGTCAAAGCCCCACTGAAACACTCTGAGGGCAATCAAAAGGCACACTGGACTTGAGTCAGTCCAGGAGCAACTGTTTTAACTCAGCCCTAATACACTATTGCAAAGTAAACAACCCATGTCAGTAGGTGAGGATATGCAAGGTCCCCTAGACAGGATGTTGAGGTAAATGCAACAAGCTCTGGAACTCCAAACCTAGAGGTGAAAAGAATGGAGAAAGAAAAAGGAGAACATGCTTGAGAGGAGGAGCGCATTGCAGAAGCCGATAATGCTGTATCAGGCACACACTGCAGACAAACTTAAGTCATCATCACTCACTAGAGGGAGCAATAGCTTTCTTACTGAAAACCATAACCGTGTAGTATCGTAACTCTCAGATGAGAACAAAAATCTTAAGGCAAAAATACGAAACTTAGCTGGTATAATGGCACATCCCTGTAAGTCCAGCTACTTGAGAGGCCAAGGAAGCATTACAAATTTGAGACCACGGGCAATTTAGTAAGATCTGGTCTTAAAACAAAAAATGCAAAGGTCTGAAATGTAGATCCATGGTAGAATGGTTGTCTAACAAGCACAAGGCTTGGGGATCAATCCCCAGCACTGCAAATAGCAATAATCATAAAATTTTTAAAAATCATATTGCATTTAGCAGAGAAGTATTATAATCACACAGCCAAAAGAAACAAATGAAAAGATGGGATTTTTTTTTTTTCTTTTCAGTTTTTAGCTTTATCTTTTGGTTTCTGAGACAGGTTCAGGCTAGGTAGCCCAGGCTGGTCTTAAACTTGTAGCAATCACCCTGCCTCAGCATCCCAGGTGCTGGAATTATAGGTGTGCACTCCTCCATAGAGCTGGGATTTTACTTTAATGTCTAGTGGAATATTGAGATGCTACAACTACTAAGGTCAACTGAAACCCAAGACTGTACCTTGGCACTCTCTGTATTTTCTGGGGTCACATCAGCAATCCCATTCCAGCTGTAGAGAGATGCTATGTGGACCAGGAGTTGCCCAGTAAAGAAGCGAACCTTCTGCGTTTTTGTGATATTTTTATTGTGAACTACCTAAAAACAATGATACAACAAATGATGCTCAAAGAATTCACTGGTTTTTAAAAATGCTGTTTATTGTCTTCTCATCATTATAAAAATGCATGCTAACTGCAGAAAATGTGGCCCCCAAAAAGGGGAAAACACAGAGAAACACAATTTACCTATATCCCAAACATCTTGGTACCTCATTACCATTTCAGGGTTTCCAGTCAGTGCCCCCTACCCACAGTCACTGCACATAGGTACACAGCCTGGCCATCTCTTTTGGGCTTGAGATTATACTGCTACGTGGTTTTATGCCTCCTTTACTTACCTAGTGTGAGCTTTTACCATATTAAAAATTCCTCTGAAGACTGTTTTAGAGGGAGAAATAGTACTTTGTGCCGGCAGTGGACCTTCACTTACTAACTCTCCCCCGATGTTTCTACCTGGCTACTCCCCATCAAGCCATGGATGAAGCTTACACTGCACTGGGGGACCAAGCCTGTTCTTATGAATGGAACTGTGGCACAAGATCTCATTTCCACCTGAGCCGGGAAGTGCGGCCCAGTCTATGAAATGTGTCCTCCAGGTGGATCTGGTACACACCCAGGCTTGCAGCGAGCCTTAGTCAGGCTCACAGTGTACGTAAGATCTTCAGCACACGGTGCCAGACTGCTAACTTCAACAGCGGCTGCGGCACCTCCTCCAGGGAAGCAGTGCTTGAGGCAGCTTTGCTAGCACTATACTGAATGTCATCTTTAAAACGTCAGTGCTGCTCTGGTATGGGAAGAAACCTGTGTGCCACTACTGGTTTTACTTTGGATAAGGTGACAAGAAAATTGTTAGGGAAGAGAGAGCGGCACTGCCTGTGCACTGTAGGGTGCACAACAGCACCTCTGCTTCCACTGACGAGGGGCCAGTTTAGGTTCCCTGTAACAACTGCAAATGACTCCGGCCAGGAGTGGGGCACACACCTGTAATCTCAGAACTCAGGAGGCTGAGGCAGGGAGATCACCATTGAGTCTGAGGCCAGACTGGGCTACATAGTAAACCTAAACTATACAGTGAGACCCTGTCGGAAAAAGATAAATAAAAATTTAAAAAACTGTCCCTAGATATTGCCAAATGTCTCAAGGACAGGAAACTGTACTCAGTTGAGAACCACTGCTTTACAAACTACAAATTTAAAGTGTTTTCATGCTTACTAGCCATTTTTGTACAGGTTCTTGACAACTTTTCATGTTGAAAAGGTCAGAGTTTTCCTGATTAATCACTTAAGGTGTTTCTATCTCAAGGACAATAATCCCTTTTGGCAAGTTTTTAAATTTCTGTAAGAATGTTTGCAAAAGACAGACTATGTAACATGGACTAGAGGCGCCAATGAAGCACTACTTGCAGTTTGCAGCTCACAGTTATGAGCTGGCTGCTGTGAACTGCTGCTCGGCAGCTTTCCACCCGCCTAGGAAAAGGAAGCCTTGCATTCCTCCAGCTTCTGAGCACAGAACTTGCTCACCCTCAAGCCCAGCTTCTGCTTAAGAAGCTGCTTTCCTTGCCATCTACGTAACTGCAATGAGACAGCTGCAAACGTCGATGATGAGGACAATGATGGACACCGCTTCTTCGTTCACAAAGAAAACACAAACGACAAGGAAACTGACCATTGGGGGCTGGGGATTCAGCTCAGTGGCATAAGCACCTGCCTTACAAGCAGGCCGTCATGAGTTCAATCCCCAGTACCGATAAAAAAAAAAAAAGAAAACTGACCACGGAACACGTACCTTTGTTTTTAGTGTAGATAACAAAATGTTGATGGTAGAAATCCTATCTTCCTTTATGCCAGAGCTAAAAATGCAAGGGATAAATTCTGAAAATAAAAGTTTCAAAGCATTAAACACAGAAATATTCTGGAAATAAGAACAAATGAGAGAATATTATTGATTAAATAAGTATAGCAAACAATGCCATATACCTTTAAAAAAAAGTTTGTTTTTCTTAATTATATAACTTCACAGTAGGAAAAACCAGCTTCATGACATAGGAAATCAGGATTTTTTAAAAAGTTCAGTTCTTTTGAGACTGTTTGATTCACTATGCAGTTCAGGCTGCCCTTGAATTCAGCCTCCCAAGTGCTGAGATTATAGGAGTGTGCCACCACGCCCAGCCAAAAATTCCAGAGTTCTTTAGTTTCATTTTACTTTTATTTCTGTACATTAAGTAAAATGAACTTAACAATGATTGAAAAAGAATATGCAGTATGATTACAGTCTTCTAAAGCTTCTCTCCTGACTGCTGAGAGATATGTTTAAAATTATGATTTTACTGGTTGGTGGGAGGAGTTTGGGGGGACTATCTGTTCATTTTTGCTTTACCCACAGAGCTGGAGGACCTGCTATTGCTAACATACTGGTGACACTGCACAGAAGCACCAGAGCAATTGCCACATCGCTTGCTTTCTACATGCTTAATTGCTACAAAAGAAACTCATTGTTCTTTAAATAAGAAAATACTAACCAAACTAAACTAAAATTTAAAATCAACCATAGCCCTCCCACCCACACAAAGGTAAACACTGTATGTAACCTTTGAGTCAGCTGTTAGCCTTCTTGTGTGACCATACTATTCTATTTAGTTACTAGTTAAATGGGATCATGCTTTACCGCTCTGTGAGTTGATTCCCAGTCATGTATCAGTGATAAACTCTTGTGTCAGAAGTATATTTCTGCAGCATTTTTAATGGCTGCATTCCATCATATGACTAGTACTCAACTTACTCAGTTGATCACTTGCACAGCTAGATGTCTGATCTTCAGCTAACACAAGAAAAGTCTTCCTAAATCAAACCTCTATTTATATCCTTAATTACTTTCTCAGGACAAATGCGTATACACGGAATCGCTAGATCAAACATCTTAGAAGATCTGATTCAAGAGGCCAAACTGCCCACAGAAACCTGCCCCTGTGGCAATGGAAATGGGTACCCACTGCCTTTTTGCCAAGGGCCAGACAGCTGGCTGAGATGACACACGGAAGTGTAAAGAAACTGCTGGCCCTGGTAGCAGCAGGACACTCTGAACCTAGTTCCAGCAATGAGTGGGAAAGGACTGTCTGTGCATGTTGTCCCCTCCAGGATGCTCTGCCAATGATGGAGCCCCACATGGACCAGGCTGACAACTACTCATGCCCTCAAGCTCTGGAGGAGCTCAGGTCTCCCTTCAGGGTGTGTGTGGGGGAGAGGGCCAGACATACAGTCACACCAAGCTACAGCACCCTGACTGTCCTTCAAAGGATGATTCTCAGAGATCTTACCAGAACACACAGGCACGATTCTGGGAATCTTACTGAGCAACTGCCATGTGGTAAGTAAGCTCGGTCACTTAGCACCTCACCAAATCTCTTCACGCAAGTGGTCCTAATAAACTATGTCAAGCCTTGCTCTAGGAAGACAGCCACCAGAAGGTGGTCCAGTAGAAATTCTCTGGAGTTCTGATATTCTCATAGCATGGGAAAGAACTACTAGGGTCAGTGAACTCTATGTGTCTTTGTATCATTGTACTTCGATCAAATCCAAGGGTAAACACTCCATCACTGAGCTATCCCCTGAACCAAACAAATTATATTTTAAAAAATGCAATTACTAAGGAAAGCCAGGTAGCCATGGCTATGAATCTGTGTATGTTCTGGAACCAAAAGCCTCTGTTTGCATTAATCCTTTGTTAGGGCAGAGTTCAGCCTTCAAGGCTGAAGTCACAGGAACACCTCCATTCATGCTAAACAGTGATATCAAGATGGCAATGCCCAAGCCCCCCCCCCCCCATATAACCTTCATGCCCGTGCACAAATCTGCAAAGGATGCAGATCTGTTGGAAGAAATGGTTTGCAAGCAGCTCCTTTAGAACAACTGCAGGCGGACTTTTCTAAGGGACAAAGGGAATACCTACCTTTCAGCTCTAGTACTTGTCCTATAGTGCTATCATCACCAGCAATTAAGAAGGAGAGGGCAAACTGGATGTAGGCCAGCCGGACGTCAGGCACTCCCTGGAGGACAAAGGAGACCAACACGTCACACATGTCTCACACACATAGGCAGAAGAGACAGGAACACAGCAGGCGAGTATACACCTCTCAACAGTACCAATCTTTCAGTCTTGTTCCCAACCTGTGGAAGTCTGAAGTTAATGAAAACTCTTTATGGAAAGCAAAGGGTTTTTGGCTCGCTTACCCCTAACTGAAACATGTAAAGTGTTAAGTTTATGGATCACTTTAGTATACAATAAAAGACTCTCAACCCACTTACATCCATCCCCTAGCTAGCCAATAACAATCCATCATTTGTTTTGCAAGTCTGGAAATAATGGAAAGTGCGGTGCTACTTTTGATGAGAAACCAATGTGCAGATGTCTGGTTTTCATTAGATGTAAGTTACAAACTCACAAGAGAAACCAAAGCCTAGATGCTTCATGTTATGAAGCCAGCATAGCTATCCCAGCCTATACCATCCCATAGGCATCAGTGGCAACCTGGGGCAGCAAGGCCATGTGCCCATGGCCAGCAGCTAACACTCCTGGGGAGGCCACAAGGGCCAGCTGATCAGTTCTCCCTTCTAGTGTCACAAGACAAAGCCCATGACTCATCACTGTCTTCTGCACTTAAGGAAGCCGAAGCATACTCACCTCTCATCAGCTCTTCTAGAGCTGGCACCTATGCTTGCCAGCTCTAGAACACTTGAACGTCAGCCTTTGTTCACCTCCCAGTAACACCACCAAGGAATAAACTCACAGTATACAGAATTACCATTGCAACTATCTGGTGAGAAACACCAAGTGGCCATCTCTGCTTCCAGATAGTCCTGCTCCACTTAGTAGTGGCAGCTGAGGCAGTGGTGAGGATAGTGACAATGATGGTCACATTTACTGAACACTATGCCAAGCACAACCTCAAATGCTGAACATGTGTTATGTCATTGTTCTTCATAATATGCTGAGGTGAAGATGCTTACCATCCTCATTTTACAGATGGGCAAAGTGAGTACTGGAAAACTCACTCAAGGTCATGCAGCTGTATGTAACCAAGCACCAGAACTGAATTAATTAAGAAATAACTGCACAAACACGCTTCATGTTCAAATAAAAAGGGCTCCTTGCACCTGCATCTCCCCTTTTCTCAAGGTGCAGGGGCCTATTTGGCAACGTTTAGGTCTCTGTGCAAGTATTTGATCAATTCCTTCTTGTTTCATTGGGGGCATTTCTTCTGGAGAAAAGATAACTGTAATACCATCAACTCAGGATGCTGAGACAAGAGAATTGCAGGCTAGAAGCCAGCCTGTGCAACTTAGGGCAAGGCTTGAAATACAAGGGCTGCAACTCAGTGGCAAACTGCCTGCCTCGCATGCCTACAGCCATAGGTTCTATTCCCAACACCTTAAAGAAGAGGGAGGAAAAAAAAGGTAGGGGGAGAGTATACAATCCCTACTCTCAAACACTTGGATTTAAGCCTTGCACATTTGTTCTATTTCTCGAGTCATGCCACCCATGACACCTGGCACTCAAGACTTTATCACTTCATGTTCACAAAACCCCGCAGCAAATGCTGTAACCTCAAGCTGACATCATGCAAAGTCAACTAAGAAACTAACGTGAGGGAGCTTAATGTAACCACCTCTCTCGAGTTACCTGGGACCTCAATGTTCACATAAACACCTCACTAATCCCAGCACATCACTGTTATTCTGGTCTGCATTTGCATATCGGGAATAAATGTTTGTACAACAATAAAACTTGTCTAAAGAACTTAAATTAGGTTTTATTTTCTCCCTGCTAGTGGAACCCCCCGACTCTGTGACCACTGAGATGGTACTAGAGTCAGGGACCTGGAATGCTGGCTGCAGTTTGCACAATTTTAGATCTTGGTGTCCCACTTACACACAGTAAAGCTGCACTAGATCTTCCCATGGGTCCTCTAGCAATGAATTCCTAAGTGAGAATTTGGTTATCACCTGCCAGCTCCCTTTTTGTGTGTCTCACAGCTCCTAATCTCAGAGTCTACCTCTGTGAAGGAACCAGACAGACGAGGTCCATAAGACCCTGCACCTGTCCACTCTAGTCTGGCACCACTGCTGCTCCTCAAAGACATCCTGCTCCTGCTGAGAGGAGCACCTAACCCTTCATTCCTACTCTGACCTCACAGAGCTGTTATCCCTGGAAGAAAATGTCCTGAACTCTTCAGGGTTTGTTCTGTAAAACACTGTCTAAAATAGACCAAAACATATTTGGCAAGACTGCTCTTTGGCACAGGATTTTAACAATGCTTTCTTTGGCTGGATGAAGATAGCCATGGTCCTTTCAAGAGGCTTTAATAATTCTCTCTCAAATGTTCAAATACACTCACTGAAAAACCAGAAATTGCTATTAGCATCTTTAACAACTAAAGTGCATGAAAAGAGGCAAGAGAAACACAAAGATTAACAAGAGATGCAAAGAGACTGGGGAAGCATATCAACCACATGCAACACACAGATTTTGTCTGGGCTCCCTCTTGAGCCACAGTATGTTAAGGTTTTTGATCTAAAAAGGCCCCAAATCTTCATGTTTGGACAGTGATCGGGTCGTGGGTGCAGCACAGCAGATTCACCGTTAGGTGAATTACTGGGGGCATGACCTCAAAAAGGTCCCCGCTCCTCCTTTCTTTGCTTCCTGCCCACCATGACGTGAGCAGCTTTCCTCCACCTGACCTTCTGACCATGCCCTTCCTGCCTTGGAGCCAGCTGACCTCGGTCTGAAAATGTGAGCCAAAATAAACCTCTCCTCCTTTAAGTTGTGGGCGTTAGGGACTGTGTCTCAGTGATGAGGAAAAGGACTGAGACAGTATGAAAATAGTTTTCAGATAGTCAGAAAAAGTAGGAGATCAAGTGGGGTTTTAGAAGACACTGAGAAGTTACTAATGGTGGTAGGTGCGACAATGGTTAGGTGGTTTTGTTTTTTAAAAGGCCTTTTTCTGTTAGAGTACACACTGAAATATTTACGGCGAGACATGAGTCACGTCTGAGAGTGGCTATAATAGGGCTCAGCAAGTGAACTGAATGTGGAGGGGTGACACGTTGTGTTGAAGCTGCAACATAAAGCTTCTCAGGCTGCTCCGTTTTAATGTCCCTGACATTTCCAATATTAAAAAAACCTAATGTCCAGACACCATTTTGTACTGCACACCAAGTATTGAAGAGCTCTCATCCTTGAGACAGATTAAATAAAAGAAAGCAAGGAAACTATCAGCCTGGCAGTAGCTCCCATCTTACACATCCTGCAGAGGTAAAATCCCTTGCTCTGAGACCTTGAGACGACATAGCTGGCACAGCGGGGCTCAGCAGAGGGAGCTGTAGGTGGGCTTCCCCAGTTTTCTGGTCTCGGTGGGTGGCCTGGGTGCTCTTTGCTGCTCGGATGGCTGGAGTCAAGAGAGACAGGGCTGGAAGGGGCAGGCACCTGATGGGCAATTAGTGCCAGGCTCACTGCCAAGACCAAAGAACCGTGATATTTGCCTGACTATAGACACACATTCTTTTTATTAGAAATGCATTTAAATGTCAGGAGCCATTATTCACTAAATGGAATCTGTTGACATGTTAATAAAGCATAGTATCTAGGAGACACTAAGACCTGGACTTTTTTTTCTCAGAGAGTACCTTATTTGTAATTCCAATAAAACCTTCAACACTAGACCAACCTTTGAGGGCGGTGGAAGTTACTTGGCATTCTTATTAACCCTTTAGTCTATTTCCTGACAATGTAAAAACTAGATTCTCAGGAGTACTGAGAAAACAAGTTAGCATACAGTTACAGAGGGGATCATGCTAACACGGTTCTCTACCTTCCCAACTGTCCTTCTGCTCAGAAAGCAGTGAGAACTAGGGTTCTCACTGGGAACTTTTCCTCCGGGCCTTTCCAGACCCAAATGACACTGCTGGAGCCACCAGGGAAATAGCTCACCTGAAAATCAAGCATTTGCATTTCCATTCTGTTTCTTGCCATTTAGCCCCAACCCATAACAAGATTATAAATGGGAGGCACAAAGTCATGTATGAAAGAGCCCTCTCTGAGAATGTTACTGGCTTAGAGTTCCAGAGAGTATTTAAAGGGGACAGATGAGAACAGAGGACTAGAGCATCTTACAATACTCACTGCTGTGAGGCAAAGATTACTTTCTTCACTCAGACGAGTGGGTGCTCACGGCTAAGTCATTCTGAGGTACTGCACCACAGAGCCAACCTCTTTCCTTCCCCCAGCCCTAAAAGCTTCCTCAGATGTTGCTGGGGTTCAGGCTCTGCTGGGCAGCTGACCCATCCTCAGTCAGGGAGGAAGCACGACACTTGGGGGTACTAACCTTTGAGTCCCTCTTAGTCGCCAGAGCATACAAGTTCTTTTTATTCAAATCAAAATGGCTGCAGACGTCCCTGGCAGCTTCAGGTCCCTGGGTAACCATGGCAGCCATTAGGCTGAGGCAGGCTCGAGCTATCCTGCAAAGGGACAGAAAACAGCAGAAGCACAAGGCCCCCGCTTCAGGAAGCCAAGTGCATACCTAGTTGCGCTATATCAAAATCAGAAAAATGAAAAAGGAAGTATATTCTTTTCCTTTTATTAAAAAAAGCATAACAGAAACTTCCAAGGAAGGCAAAACACAGATTTAGGAAGATCAAGACACAGAGATGAAAATTTGTCTTTCAAGTAAACCTCATGTGGCTGGGAGACCACATCTGAATCTCCATGTCCACAGGACATGGGGTGACTTTTCCCTTAAGGTCTCTCAGAAGTAACCTGTGGCCGCCATTCTGCTCTGTGATCACTCACTGAGCACCTGCTCCATGCGAGGCACTGTTCCAGTCCCAGGGCGGCAGCATCTTTAAGGCAGCAGGGCCCCTGCCCCCACGTGCCCTTGCGCTGCAGTGGAGGAAGGTGGTCACAGGTACAGAAGACAACACTGGCTCTGCAGGCATCTGTCTATGTGCAGCAGGCTAGAGGCACAGGAAAGGACAGCGGGAGCGCTACTAGACATAGACAGTCAAAGGACAGCCCTGCTGAGGTGACACATCTGCAGAGCACTGAAGGCAGACAGCTGTCGCAGGACTATGCAGGAGAACAGCCTGTTCCCAGGTCGGTGAGGAAAGCAGTGGGGCTAGAGCACAGTGGGGCAGGAGGCGGTGACAGCAGACACGTGTCACAGGAGCCTCAGAGACCGCTCAGTTCTGCTTAATGAGCGAAGGAAAGGTTAAAGGCACTCACAGAGAATGGAGCACAGACTGCACCGAAGACCAGCCCTTTGTCACATAGAAACAGGCCGCTTACCTGTAACCTGAGGCATACAGGGACTCACAGATGAGCTTCATATGGTTGTTCAGCAGCTTTTTCACGATATTGGTGCCCACGACATGAAAATGTGAGAGATCACTTGCTGTCCGCAATAATATGGCCTCAAAAACTTGAAGGATTAATAGCACCTGCAGAAATGGAGTTGCAATGCTGTAAATCGTCTCACCCCTTCTCCTGAACACATGTGCCATCCTCATTTTCACTGGAGTCAGTGTGCAGAGTGAGGAGGCCTCCTCAGGCCTGGGCCAAAGGCAGCCAGGGCAAGAGGCTACGGCTCACCGGGCTAAGGCCTGAGCCAGACAGCGCCTTGCTTCTAACTCCACACAGCCAAGTCCTGGCACAGGGAGAGGCCGCTAATGAAAACCAGGTCTTGCTCCTTTGGGTTCGACAGCCTTGTAATGGAGCTCTGAAACTCTGATAAGTTCATAAATATTCTAAGTTTTCAACCTCTCTGGAACCTGAAGACAACCGATTCTATGTGAGCTATAAGTCTGCAGGATGATGTTCACCGGCTTCCCTTTTGTTAAAACAAACCAGGTGCCTTCTATTCTATGATCCCACCTTTTAATTATTCACCAAATATTAATAAGAACTTAGCACTTCCCACTAACATGCCTTCAAAGGTTATAAAGAAAATAACATGTTCCTACACACTGTCACAAAGAATCATTTTCGGAAAATGACTGATGCTGTCTGGGAAACCAACATCCTTTTTCCTCATGCTTAAATCAACACAACTGTAGCATCAACTTGCTTTGTTAAGTCAGGTAAGGAACAAACTTACTTCACTTTCAGGCCGCTTCTCTCCACTCAGGAGCTGGAAAATTTCCGCACATTCAACAGAAATCTTTATGTACCCTTCCACAACATCATATACATCTTCTCGAGGCAGTTTCTTGGCAGCAGAGACAAATGCTTCCAAGGCTGAAAAAGTTCTATTCAAAGGTCAAAAAGCATAGCCTCCTCAAGCTACTATGGATGCTACGGACTGAACCATTTACCCATAAAATTCATATTTTGGAGCATGAATGACTACAAGGCTGTATTTGGGGGCACAAAAAGGACCAGTCATCATGGAAAGTCACTATTGCGGGTTTTACTATGCCATTCGGGCTGGCCTTGAACTTTCTTTGCAGCTGGTCTAGAACTCGAAGCATTCCTCCTGCCTCATTGCAGGTATGTGCCTACACAACAGGCAAAACTGTACTTTTTAAAAAGTGTTGCAGCTTCAAGCTGGATGCGGTGGTACATGTTTATACTCTGAGGGGCTGAGGTAAAGGGATTGCCAGGTTTGATCCTAGCCTGGGCAACTTAAGAACTCGGTGAGACCCTGCCCCAAAATAAAAACTTAGAAGCCACATCACGCTTTCCTGGGAGCCAGCCTATGTGCAGAATAGGAGCCCAGAAGAGCATCCACCCCTCCCTCCCCACAACCTGTAAGCAAGGCTGATTCAGAGGACTCAGGGTGAGATGACAGACTCAAGTGAAAGGAGTGGCTATTGTTTGACTGACTTTGCAGCCCTGAGGCTGGTGGTCAGGAAATCTACCTGGAAGATGATAGTGTTGTTTCTTTTTTCTCTTTAAAATAAAATAAGGCTGTACTTGGGATACAGGGTCTTTAAGGAGGTAGGAGGAGGTCATAAAATTGAGTTTCTAATCCCAAACAACTGGTATCCTTGTAAGAGGAAGGGACATCAGAGAATTCTCTCTCTGTGTGTGTGTGTGTGTGTGTGTGTGTGTGTGTGTCATGTAAAAAAGAAAGGTCAAGAAAGCAGCTATCTGCCTGCAATCAGGCAGAGAACCCTTAGCACAATCCCACTATGCTCTAGGACTTCTAGAGCTGTGCAAAAATAAATGTCTTATTGTTTGAGCCACACAGTCTACAATATTTTGCTGTGGCAGCCCCAGCATATAAGTCCATAAAAACTGAAAATAACAAAGGCAGTACAGGAATAAAGCAAGCTGTGAGCCAACAAGGCTCACAGGTACGAATCCTAACTGGAGTCATTACTTGCCTGGACCCTCTTAGCTTGACAATCTCTAATCTGTGAGATAAAGACAACAACAGAAATGATCCACAATGTGGTAATGAAACACTACTAAGAGCTCTACCTATAGTAAGTTACTTCTCACCACAACCCTCTTGGCCAGGTACTAATATTTTCCCATTTTACAAATAAGAAAATTGAGGACTTTGGAAAGGGTACTCCCCAGGCAGTGGCCAAGTCAGGCTGTCTGGCTCAGAGTCCATATTCTCCCTTCAAAAGCTGGTGCTTGGTATTCCTCCCCAGCCCCGAAAGCAGGCTCAAAAAGACAAAAATATAAAGGACTAAGGATGTAGTTCAATGCAGAGGCCCTGGGTTCAATCTCCAGTACGACAAAAAAAAAAAAAACCAAACAAACAACAACAAAAACCTCTCTCTGACTGCTGCCTGTAAAAAGAGGTGTAGTGAAGCAAAGGCATAAGAGGCAGTAACTTCAGGCAGCTCTGGCCAATCCCAGCAGAGACTGATGGAGCCTGCACTTAATGGGGAGGGTAGAGGAGGCTAGACGGACTCCACAGCAACTGTGCTGGAGAACCATCAAGGCCAGGGCATAAATTGAGACACAAAGGGAGTTCTGGTGGCAAATTCCAGGCAATTGAATAACTATCCCTTACCACGATACACAAAACACAGAGCCAATATGAGGATGTAAGAGCAAACGGTCAACCTTTGGAATCCTCCCATTTACAATATGGCCTTCTCTACTGCCAGCGAAGTAAGGAACTGGCTTGAGGTGGGCCCCTTTCAGTCTGGCTTCTCCCTGATGCTGACATCAATTCACTGAGTGTCTTTTACCAATCTAAGCCTACAACTCCCTTTCCTCCGTTACGGGAAGGGAATGGAGCCCACACAGAGATCTTCCCTCAGGGGTGCCTGAAAACAAAATTCTCCAGTGCCCTCTGATCAGTTCTACTTCCCTGACTGCCCAGTGATCCTATCACAGGCAGTGGAGTGCAAATAAAAAAGGGAGAAAGAGAATTCCAGAAACGGACTAGAGACATAAACCTAACACAGCTGCACACCAGTGACTGGTACTTTCACTGCCTCGGCTTTGCTGCATCTGTCAACTAACTTACCTACACCCATCATTGGCCTACTGACTGTCCTCCTGTTTAACGGCACAGCACCCAAATATCACCATACTCACTGGACTGAACCATCAAGTATGGATATTGCATCTTTTCAGTCACTGAAACACCCCTTTTGTCCCATGTCACGATCCTTTTGAAAAGCTAGTTCCTGGAGGGGCTGCTTCAATCTCAAAGCTCAGCTCCAAGGCCCATTAAGAACTTTCAGGTACTATGTACACCTCCTCTGGAAGGGTTGGCTTGAAACTATCATACCGAGATTTTACTGATCACCTGCCTTCCCCTCTATCCTAACAAACAATACGAATGAATACATGCGTGATACATGTAACTGTTCTAAAGTAGAAATCATCTTCCTAGCACTAACTAGGAAAGGCAAGCATCAAAAGCTCTAAAAAGAAAATCTGTAGGAGAAAAATTAGAACTCCTATTCTAACCATCAATTTAGTAATTTTTTTAAGCTGCAAGAAACACTGTCTTTGTTTTATTTTAGCATGGTGCCAACGTCTTCACTAGACATGTTCGACTGTGTTTTTGCCTCCTAATCTCTACTTTTCAAAGGACTACAAATAGGAATTATGGTTACACTTTACAAAATGTGAAATTAAATTACAGAATCTGCTTAATACCAGCCTCTGATCCAATCCTAGACAAGGGACAAACAGTTGTGTGGGCTGTGGTGTGTTAGCAGGTCGTGCGAGTGGTAGGGGATCAAAGCTACGGAAAAATGCTGACAGCCCAAGAAGCAACAAGCTGTCTTTAAGGAACTGCCAGCGCTGACTCACAGTGGGGACTTAGCAGCCCAGGATGCGTGAAAGTGGTCGCTTCGTTTAATTTCCTGACAAGTGCAATAAAGAGGTTTTAAAACTTGCCGAGGCTTGTTGCCAGGACAAGGGAAACGAGCAGTCAAATGAAACTGTCATAAGTAACAAGAGTCAGGGTCCGCCTGCTGCTGACAGCCCAGGCTGCCCCGGGGCCCTGGACACCCCATCACTCGAGCTCGTTTCTTGCGGAACCAGAGGCGTGGCTCTGGCTCCCAGGGACCCAGAACCTGCGGAAGGAAAGGCTGTGCCTGGCTGTGTCTGATCGCGGCCGAAGGCTGCCTCGCCCGCACGTGTCTGCTGCCCAGGCCCCGCGCCCCGCACTCACCCGGCCCCGGCCCCTGCGGGTCCCTCAGCTGAGTCTTGAACCGCACGCCCGTGAGCTCCTCCGTGCGGAACCTCTTGGCTGCGGCCGTACCGGAAACGGCGCCATCCTGACCGGCCAAGGCCTTCCTCTTGCGGACTCCCATGGCCGGGCGCTGGGGTTACGACTGAAAGCACGCACCTCCGTGGACCAGGCCAGCCCAGACCCACGCCGGACCAGACCCACGCCGGTCGGCAAGCGTGAGGCGGAAGGGGCGGGGCCTGGAGGGGCACGCTGGCGGAAGGGGCGGGTCCAATTGAGCGGGCCGGAGGAAGGGGCGGGGCCTGAGGTGCTGCTGGCGGGTGTGGAGCTGCAGTCCGGGTGTAGTCGGTTCGTATCGTTTTCTTCGTTCGCTCGATCGTTCCGGGCTGGGAACGAAGCGACACTCCGGGACACCCCGCACTCAGGTTGGGGCCCTGAGCAGGAGGGAGTTTCAGATCCTTGGGGACCACTTTGACCCGGGGCCCGAGTGTTACAGCAGCGCGATGAGTTCATTTCTTAACTAAAGCACACTTAATGGTGTCGTTGGAAAAGCTTGCTCCTAGCGCAAAGGCATTCGACACTTTCCCGGTTGGAGACCCTGAGGTGCCCTTTCCGCCAGACGCGAAGGGAGGAAATGAAGCAATGTGTATGTCTGTAAAGATGTGAATACATAGATCAAATCTTGGGCCTCGTTAATGTTAGCCTACCCTAGAATGACGACTAGAATGCTCTTACAAAACCTCAAAACCTCAGGGTGCAGATACCTGAGCTTGTAAGATTTGAACTGGCCCCTGGACAGTGTGCCTGCTAAGTGTCCAGTGCAGGTCTTTCTCCTGCATTGTAACGTGGCATAGGGCACTACTTAGAGCAAGTGTGCCAGCCAAAGTCTCTTCTCCTTGTAAACTCAGTAATGCTGTCATGTAAGCTCCACTCTCATAAGCTAATCTATTCCTAATGACTTCCCAAAGACCCTACCTCAAAATACCATCATCGCATAATTTGGTAAGTTTTCAACTCATGAAATTCTAGAAGGGGATATGTTACAGTTAGGATATTAAATACCCACGAACGCCATGTGTTGAAGGCTTGGTTGCAGCTTGTGACATTCTGGAAACAGTGGAACTTTTAGGAGATAGGGACTAGTGGAAGGAAGTTGGGTCATTGAGGACTTGCCTTCAAAGGGGACACTGGCATCCTTGCCCTATCTTTCTTTGCTTCCCTGATGCCATGAACTGAACAGCTTGGCTCTATCATGAACTCCCCCATAATGTTCTGCCTCACCACAGGCTCAAAGCAATTCAGAGGAATAACCCTGGACTGAAACTGTGGGCTGTAACAAACTTTCCTCCTTTAAACTGTATCTCGGGTATTTTGTCATAGTGACAAAACAGTAACACAGGAACACAGGCGACACATTCAAATCATTGTACAAGTGATAAGCCAGTATGTACCCGTGATGTGCTATATTGAGTCATTCACTTCTGCATGTCCTTCCTATCCCAGTTACTTTCTGATCCCTGAAACAAAATACCCAACATCCACAAGTTAGGGTAAGAAAGATTTATTTCAGCTTACAGTTTGTACAGGTTTTGATCCATAGTCAGCTGGTTCCAAGGCAGGATGGCAGGGAAGAGGGGCATCACAGAGGAAAAACAGTCCATCATGTGGCAGGCAGCGTGCAGCAGATAAATATGGGTGAAAATGTATAGAATTACTCTTTAAAATTTACTATAAATCTAGAATTATTCCAAAATATAAAAGTTAGTCAAAGTAGAATAAAGATATGCATACTTAGAAATTTTTAAATTTATTTCTAAACACCAATCTTGCTTTGCTATACATGAACACCAAATTCACAGAGAGAAATTAGGGAAAACACATCCTTCACAATAGCAACCAAAAAAATGAAATACTTAGGAATCTATTTAGCAAAGGAAGTAAAATATCTATACATTGAAAATTCCATTTCACTGAAAAAGGAGATTGAATCAGATATCAGAAAATGGAAAGATATCCCTTGTTCATAGACAGGGAGAACCAGAATAAGGAAAATGGCCCTAGTCTCAAAATTGTTATACAGATTTAATGTGATTCTGATCAAATTATCACTAACATACCTTACAGAATTAGTGAAAAAAATCCTAAAATTCATTTGAAACCAGAAGTTACCTCGAGTAGCAAAAGCAGTTGTGGGCAACAAAGGCAAAGGAGAAGGCATCACAATCCCAGAATTGAAAATATACTACAAAGCTACTGTTATAAAATCAGCATGGTACTGGCAAAAGAAACAGACCTGAGGCTCAGTGGAATAAATTTAGAAGAATTAAACAACTACAAAGACTCTTGGCACCTTATCTTTGACAAAGAGGCCAAACACATTCACTGGAAGAAGGATAGTATCTTTAATAAATGGTGCTACAAAAACTGGCTTTCTACATGCTGAAGACTGAAACTAGACCCATGCCTATCACCATGAACTAACCTAAAATAAAAAAGAATCAAGTATTTAAATATTAAAACAGAAACACTAAATCTACTGGAAAAGAAAGTAGATAGAAATCTTGAAGACATAGCTTCAAGCAGATAATTCATGAACAGAGTTCAGCCTGCATAGGAAATACTTCAAATAACATTTGGATCTCATCTAGTTAAAAAGCTTTTGCATATCAAAAGAAATCACCCACAGAGTGAAAAGACAGCCCAAAGACTGGGAAAAATTTTTAGCCAGTTGTCCTTCAGACAAAGGGCTTATATCTAGAACATATAAGGAATTGAAAAGTCAGGCAGTCAGAATTCAAAGACCCAATCCAAAAATGGGAATATGAGATGAACATGTACGTGCTTCTCAGATGAAGAAATACAAATGGCAAGTAAATGCATGAAAAATGTTCAACATCAGTAATCATTTGAGAAATGCAAATTAAAACAACATTGAGATTCCATCTCACTCCAGAAAGAATGCCTATCCTCAAGAAACCAACAATAACATGCTAGAGGGACTGTTGGGAAAAAAGAATGCTTTTCCTCTGTTGGTGGAGGTATAGACTGGTCAACCACTATGGAAATCAGTATGGAGATTCCTCAAAAAACTAAATTTAGAGGTCTAGTTCCCTTTCTGAGTATCTTCCTGGAAGAAAAAAAAAAAACCATCATATCCCAGTGATAATAGGCACACCTGTGTTTATAACAGCACAATTTGTAATAGCTAAATCTTGGAAACAACTCAAATGCCCATCAATCAAGGAATGGATTATACAGATGTAGTCTTTTCATATAATGAAATACTACTCAGCCATAAATATGGATAAACTTGAGACTTTTATAGGTAAATGGATGCAACTTGAGACTATACTTACAAGTGAAATCAGAATCACATGTAAACATTGTATTATCGCTTTGGTGTGTGAAAATGAAAGAATAAATAAAGTCCAAAATGCACAATACTGTGAAATAGAAGAAATTATTCCAAAGGAAAAAGGAACTAGGGTGGGGAAAAGGGGAAAGGAAATAAAATAAAAAACAAAATATAAGACAGGTATACTAATAGTTTCTCTTAGTTCTCTGAAAAGAAAAATTTGTGCTAATATTGTCTGGAGAATTTTTATGCCCATATTTTGTACTCTGAGTAACTAAAGATAATAATACTCAATGTATTAACCATTATTATTATTATTCTATTCTTTTATGAAATATTGTTTTACTTTTTCCATAAAATAAAAAAAGTCAATATTGAGATATAAATGCCATATACTAAAGAGCATGTTTGTTGTGTACACTTTGATGAGTTTGTACCTGTGAAACCATTACCACAATCAAAACACACTTTTCCATGATCTCCCAAAGTTTGTTTCTGTCCCTTTGAATGTGTTTTTAAGGTGTTATGTGTGTCTTTGTGTGTGTGCATGTGTGTGTTAAGAACGCTTAGCATGAAGCTAGGCTAAGTGGTGGATGCTTGTAATCTCAGCTCTCAGGAGGCTGAGGCAAGAGGATTGCCATGAATTCAAGTCCAGCCTGAACTACTCAGTGAGACCTTATCTCAAAAAAGCAAAACAACAACGCAACAAAAACTTAATATGAGATCTATCTTTTTAACACATTTAAGCTCATCAGGCAATATTCTTGAGTATAGACACTAACCTATGTAGCAACTCTCTAGAGCTAATTGACTTTGTATAACTGCACCTTTATACAAACTGTTCAGTAAACTCCTGTGTAGTCTTAGTTCTATGAGTATGACTGTTTTAGGTTCTGTATATAAGTAGAGTCATGTAGTATTTCTCCTTCTTTGACTAGCTTAATACACAACATACAGCCCAAAGAATGGAAACCAGGCTCTTGAAAGGATACTTAACACCCATTGTGGCATTATTCACATTGCTTACTTATAGCAACAACATACATGTCCATAGACAGGTGAATAATAAAAATATGTATATAGCTACAACAGAATATTATTCAGCCCTGAGAAGTAGGAAATCCTGTATTTGACAATATGAAAGAAATGGGAAGAATAGGAATTTGATATAAAGATTGTGCCCAAAACTGGTGAGAAAATGGATGCAGTAGATGGCAAAATGTAGGCACAAATTCCTCTACCTTCACATGCATGACTTTGCAGTCTGACTTTTGAGCTCCCTTCAGGGCATACAGAGCTTTTCTCCTCATACGGAGGCTGGGGGAACCCTTGGATGTGCAGGTCTCCAGGATGGTGCCAGTGCCAGCACACGACTGTCATTTCCTCGTTTAACTTCTCTTTTAGTATTCTTGCCTTGTTTGTTTGAATTGGAACAATTTCATGTATTTGTATTATTTTCTTAACTTTATTTAGTTTGCTTCCTTTCTGCGTATTAACATTTCAATTGCATCAAGCTATAATTCTGCTTTGTTAGTTCAAAGTAACCCCAGACCACTAAATTCAAATGTAATTGTGCTGGGAGAGAGATTTATTTTGGAGAAATCACTCCTGAAGGTGCAGGAAATCTGACGGAATGGCTGGCGGGTTCCCATGAGCACCCTGCAGATGAGGAAAGTGGTCGAGGAGAACTGAGGTGGGAGGAAGTGACAGGAGACTTGAAGGAGTTAAGAGAGGAAAGCCGCATGGTGTGTTCCACAACTAGATGTCCCACTAAAGCCTCATAAAGGTGGGACTTTGGGAAGGTGATTGGATTATGGGTGTGTAGTTGGCTTGTGTCAGAAGGAGCAGGTCACTGGGGGAATGGCCAGCAAGGGTTTATTTCCCTCCC